ATATTGACTGCTCCCTGCACTGCACCGATGGGATCATCTCCTGCGTTAGCAAACTTGTCAATGTTTGAGGCAGCGGATTGCAGAGTTTGTGTCACGGTCACTCTATCGCCAAACGAAAGCGTATTCCATTTATCCTTCAACTCAATCAGACCTTTCCTAGCGCCGGTGGCCTTTGATCCTAACGTTCCAAGGACATCTTTTAATTTGTCGAAAGGGCCATTTGGAACTGAAGAGCAGTAACAGAAAACTGAGGATACTAATTTAGCTAATTTATCCTAAAGGTGTCTACAATAACGGGTTAGACTGTATATACTGTATTTGTTGGGAGACGGTACCAACATTTTTTTTGTGGGACCAAAACTACCATATTTACTCGATTCAACACCGCCCTCGTACAGTGTATAAACACCGCAAATGGAAGCAAAATTACCTTTCAACGCGCTCTCGGATTAGCCTCCCACGCAGACGTTTTTAGTGGAGCTCGTATTTCGTCGAGCTCTCCTAAAAACGTCTGCGTGGCAGACTACTCTCGGATAAACGCTGAGCGGGGGTACTCCCTTATATAAACCATAAAGGTTTATGCCGCCCCATCGGGTAGGGTTTTTGAGCCGTTTTGGTCTGAAAACGGGTATACAGTTGGCCCATTTTGGTCTGGAATCGGCTATGGTTTTCTAGGGAACTACGGGAATGTATGAACGTATTTATCGTTTCAATTCCAAATGAGTGAGAAGGAAAGAGAAATATGCGATTTCCAAATGGACGTGAAAAATTTTTTTTTCGTTTCCGCTCTAATCTAAGTAATGATAACATAATTTCTACCTAAAGGCCAGGTCTGAAAACGGGTATGGATTTAGAGGTCTAGTCTGAAAACGGGTGTGGAGAATTACATTTTTTGGTCTGAAATCTGGTCTGGATTTGAAGAAACGGGCGGCACACCCCCACCAGGAATTCCCATGAGTGTCCCCCGGGATAAACGCCGCCCCCAATCAGAAGAATGTGGCAATCTACACCATCCAGACATTTACGATTGTTTCTCAGCAAGATAAGAGAGACAATAGAACTTTCAGTACTTTTCCGTTTTACATATTAGTTATGATCACTATTATACCAAAACATCGTCAGTGATTTAAATCTACTAAATCTAAACGCCGCCCGCAAATAAAAGAGACCATTGAAAAAAAAAAAAATCGATCATATAAATGCCGCCGCATTAAATCCAGCAAATACTGTACGTGACATTCATTAAGGCAAGTGTGATTTAACTATCGAAAAAAAAAAGGTTATAACATGGCAGCGCGGAGATACGAAATTTCCCTTCGAGAGTTACAATATATTTTTCAACACCAGAAGAGAAATTTCGTATCTCCAACCGGCCACGTAATGTTCTGTTTATTATTAATATTTAACACCGATGAAATACCAAACCATTTCACTCGTGCACCCATGATTGCCATCCTTAGCAACAGAAGACAAAAAACAGTTTCTGTGACTGCCTAAATATAGTCTTAAATAACGAAACTGGTCATTTTTGCTAGAATTCAGTTGACGCGAAGACACATTTTAGCTTTTCAAAAGGATAGCAAATCAGGCTTGTCATAGATTGTGTTAAAGAATCATACTCTCGTCGGCCAACTTTGTGTCTGTCGGGCTTTCCGGCTTCATTGAATCATTTTCATTTTCCCTCAATACAGTTATCGCCTGAAAAAAGTAACACAAAACAAAACAAAAATAAATAACTTAATCAAAATTAGTGAAATATTTCAAAGAATACGTCAGAAGGACTTTCTCGTCGCCGTTCTGCCTTTGGGCAGAAAAACACAAAAGTTTTCTGGCACCAATCAGAAGTCAGAACGGCGACGACCGTTTGGAACTGGTCTGGTAAGACATTGTCCTCAGGGGCTCTTCTCGCCGTTCTTTACTTTTCTTCGTGTCATATTTTTCCGCCCGTTTAGACTTTCCCTCGCCCCCACTATCTGCCCCGGGGTCTCCGAGGATGATAGGGCCTTTGCCATCAAAACCATTTGAGACTCAATTGGCTACTACAGAAGAGAATAATGGGATGAAAAGAGATCGTTAAGGTATTACCCGGGATATATGAATTTCAACAAAGTTAGTTTTAAAGGCTGTAATTCCCGCTGAGGCATCCTTCATTTTGATTGATCATTTGGAACCTCATCAAATCCACGCGCGACTGCCTCAAAGCAAACCATGCAGAATATTGTAATGGCGACCTGACGACTGTTCAATTCTCTCTTGACATCGCTGAATTAAAGTTTGCGGAAACCAACTTCCGGTTAAAATCAAAGGTTTAATTGGTCTAAGAATAAGTAAAACATATAACAAGGGATAGACTGGGCGTTTTCTTCTCTTTCTCATTATTCTCTCTTGGTTTTGATCAAGCCATTGAACTATTAGTATTGAAAATATCCAGAGCACTTGTACTTGCACGTTAAGTCATACATCGTCCACCTCGAGCTACCTCAAAATGAAGGTCTACTCGTTGTCTATCAGTTCGCATGGTATGTAGGCTCCAGTAAATTGCGATATAGAGCTTCTACGCAGGGCGCCCGAACGCTGTATTAGCTAATAGAAAAAATTAGATGTATTTAAGCTGTATTAGCTAATAAAATAATAAGATGCATTTTCCTTTGTTCTTGTGTCTTTATGAGTCGTTTTGGAAGGGATGTGAATCCGATCAGAGATCTTCTGGCGTGTCCTAAATACGACGCTCAAGTTTTGTCTCACGTTTCTAATACAATGTATTGTTATGTTGACTATTACCTTTCGATCTCCTTGGGAGATGAACTCCGGTTTCAAATTAACTGTCTCTTCTCGTGGCCGTTAGTGGAAAGTTAATAGTTAACAATATTAGCAACGTGAGACAAAACTTGAGCGTCTTATTTACGACGCGCCAGACAAGCAAACGCATTTGTTAACCAGCAATGTTAACCGTCTCTGATCGGATTCAAATCCCTTCCAAAACGACTCGTAAAGACACAGGAACAAAGGTAAATGCATCTTATTATTTTATTAGCTAATACAGCGTAAATACACCTAATTTTTTCTATTAGCTAATACAGCGTTCGGGCTCCCTGTAGCTTCTATACTAATGGTAAAATTTTCTCTTAACTTTCTTAAAACTTTCTCCACCCATCCTGGTTTGCCTTCGGTTCTAATCAGCTCAGTGGAAGGATCACCATGATCATCTGTCTTTGCCGCGTCGTTTTCTTCATCGTTATTATCACCCTCAGAATATCGCTTTGCATCTGGCTTTTTCTTTGGCTTTACCTGTGAACCGAGTGGATTATTAAATGAAATCTTATTGTATACAACTACAAGTTAAGTCAATTTCATCGGCAATTTGACTGGTTACCCTAGGAAGCAAGATGCTGCCATATTTTCGCGCTTTGGATCAACCAAATGTTCCGTGGACCTAATGCGCATACGAAGTTTGGTTTCAACACCAGTTTTAATCTCTGATTCCATGCCTTCAGTGCTATTTTGTAATGACGTATTTTGTGTGCTTGCACACAATTTACAATAATAATAAAAAAACTAAAATAAAAACTAACGTACGTACTAAGATCATCTCATTGCTAATTGATTCTGCACTGAATCGCTGTGACGTCAAAGGATACTGCAGTATAGAGAACAATAGACCACATTGTTAAAGTAGCAAATTCTTTTAGACTTTGTTATTGCTTCGACTCATGACATATTTCTAATCTTCGCTTTATTTTAAGGCTATTCGTTGTTTCTCGGTTTATTAAAATAATATATTTTATATATTCCGGTAAAGAGTAGACTGCCCTAATAATTCATCAATACTTTCCTTTTATTTCAATATTTTTGTCCGCGAGCTTGCTTTATGGTAGTTTGAAATACAACAGACTGCCTAAAAAGACTAACGCTTTAAGTACTTATTTTTTATCATCGGAGTTCAGACAGCGGGACCAGCAATACCATAGTAACCTAAAAACCTTATTAAGAAATTTTAACAAATGTATCACCTTTATCACAACTGGTGTTCTAAAGTTTCCGTTTTCAAGTTCGTCCGGGAAATCTGTATCACTTTCACTGCCCCTTTTAGCTTCTACTGTCTTGGTAGTAAACTACATTAAAATAAATTAAACAAGGATCACCATTTACAACAAATCTTACACAAAAAACCGGAACTAAAAACGACAGAACGACAGAACGACAGAAAAAACAGTATTAAATGGCAGCAGAAAAACGGCATCATAAGAATGTGAGTTTTTTGGTAAGCTTTGATAACAAGCTCTTGGCGCTCTCAGTGTGAGGCAGCCTGTTCACCACATATGCGTTAGAGGGAAACATCGTTCATTAGACGCGTGTTACCAGAATAGCTACCTCTTCACCGTCCTCGATGTCGTCGAAACTTTCCCCTGCGACTTCAGAAAGTTTTGCTTTTGTTGTGCTTTCTCCTGGAATATTGATTACAACGTGTAAGTGTAAGTCAGCTGAAGGGGCAAATGCAAAGTTAAAACACTGAATCTTCAACACTAATCAGATGTAGTTATGACAACATACCTTGGCATTCGATGTGCGAAGCCAGAAGAAAAGGGAGAAAAATAAATGCGATATTCATTGTTTCCAAATGACTTTAAGGACAAAGCAGTTTTTTTCTTACCAATAACTGCAATGTAAAGGTGTGAATTAGAAAGAAATTTATAGTCTGGATATGGCGTACGGTTAGCCAGTTGCTGTCCAATATTTAGAATTCCACTTAATTTACTTCCGGGTACCTGGCCGTCCTTGGTAGATCACGGAGTTTTGATTGACATGGTCACACATGTTAGAAAATTTTTCTCTGGTGTCTTCGGACACGATAGGGCTTTTGAAGGAGCTCATTGGCGGAAAAAAAAGCAAAAACAAAACAAAAAAAAGCCAACAGCTGACACAAAAATCAAAAGAAAAAGCTAATAAAATATTCATTATAACTCTAGCTTTAAATTCCTACAGTGTTTTGTAACATAAAGAAGAAAACAGAGAACATTTATTCTCTAGTTTTTTATGAACTTGCTGAGCTTTAATTCTTTTAACAATTAAAGAATTTTTGCCGCCCGTATCATCGAAAGATTTAGTCTTACCAAATTACATCTCAGCATTTTTAAATTTGGAACCAGATTGTCACAATAGAAATGTTTTACGAAACTGGCGAGCTATAAATTCTTGTGAAATACCCGAGCAGCGACCTCTGGAATGCAGTCTAAAACCGTGTTTTTTCTATGATCGAAACAGAAAATGGAATTCAGATTAAGATTAGCTGAAAGGAACTTTTAGCTACCCAAAAGAAATTTATTGTGTATGTATGCCTTCTCCTATTAGTTATTGAAATAAGCGTGCTTTTCCATTTAAAAATCCTTTTATTTTTCCAGTTATAAAAAGATATGTGTTGGATTTAAGGCGGCTCAAGTAGAAAAATGCAAATCGTCTAAAGCTCAGGTTTCATTGATGAATTATATTTTATTTTATAATCGTCTCAACGGAATACCTAAGATAAACTTGTTTACTGAATACAGATTTCCAATCACGAAAAAGCTTAAATATACAACCTAACTCATTCTCTGGTATTGTAAATAAATACAAGACAATAGCCTTGTTTGTCTTTAGGTGAAGTAGATAAGTGTGAATGACATTTAGTTGAAGAGTTAAACAAACAAACTTTCCCTCGTTCCGATAATACAAGTGGCAGTCCTTTTTTCCTTTTTCTCTTATTTATTATTATTTTTCTTTTTACCAGTAGCGCCAGTCAAGAAGTACTCTATTCACGAACTTATTCAGCTACTGACTAAAATGGCTTAAACATCTTTTATTGGACTCGTGTTACCACACTAGCTACCTCTTCACCGTCCTCGATGTCGTCGAAACTTTCCCCTGCGACTTCAAAAAGTTTTGCTTTTGTTGATGTGCTTTCTCCTGGAACTTTGACTACAACGTGTAAGTGTAAGTCAGCAGAAGGGGCAAATGCAAAGTTAAAACACTGAATCTTTAACACTAATCACATGTACATGTAGTTATGACAACATATCTTGGCATTCGATATGCAAAGCCAGAAGAAAGGGGAGAAAAATAAATGCAATATTTTATGTTTCCTACCAATAACTGCAATGTAAAGGCGTGAATTAGAAAGAAATTTATGGTGTGGATAGAGCGTGTGGTTAGCCAGTTGCATGCTGTCAAATATTTAGGAAACCCACTTAATTTACTTTCGGGTACCTGGCCGTCCTTGGTAGGTCACGGAGTTTTGAATGACATGGATACGCATGTTAAACAATTTTTCTCTGGTGTCTTTGAACACGATAGGGCTTTTGAAGTAGCTTGAGAAAAAAAAAAGCCAACACTGCCTACACAAAATGGACGAATGGGCTCTGAGTCAATAGCCCATGACGCCTTCGGCCTCATGGGCTATTGACTCAGAGGCCATGAGGGCGAGAGGAATAATTGTTCTAGTAAAATTCAACTAGTTGCTCAAAACTATCGAGAATAAAAAAATTCAGCTAGTTAAAGCTAGACTTTAATCCTTTTTTGCCGCCATAAAGCCCGCGCTTTTCGCTACTAGTGGGTTATAACATGTAGCCTAGTAGGAGCTCAGCCAATCACAACGCAGCATTGATAATAGACCACTAGTTGGATTTTACTCAAAGACAATAGCCTTGTTTGTCTTTAGGTGAAGTAGATGAGTGTGAGTGACATTTAGTTGAATAGTTAAACAAGCAAACTTACCCTCGTTCCGATAATACAGGTGGCAGCCTTATTTTTTTCTTTTATCTCTTATTCAAGGGAAATCGAAAAAAGGTTCAAGTTATCGGGAGTTCGAAGAAAATAGCCGAGAGTAAGGTAAAAAACAGGTTTTACTGCACAGTTATAATTTTAATCACATTTAATTGTAGAAAGGTCAAGTGAAAATTAAAAGATACTTTTAGATTATAAATTACAACGTAACATAACAGAACATAGCCTAAATAGAGCATGCTGTTTTGAGAAGAAAAGCTGCTTCACATTAGCCTGTGAAAATCAACATCAGCCTCCACTAGTAAACAATACTCCTACAACACGTCAATAGGAAATCTAAAATTCAATGTTTCGGACGCCATTAGACGGCTTTTTTCCCGACTTCTTAAGGGCTCAAAACATGGTTCGAGTTATCGAGGGTAAAATTATATAGAAAATGACCTGAGGGGAAACGAAAATTGGTTCGAGTTAGCGGGAGTTCGAATTATCGAGGGTTCGAGTTACCCAGGTTAAAATTACAGTGAATGTATGAAGGGAATCCAGCGGAAATCGATTTTGGTTCGAGTTAGCGAGGGTTCGAGTTATCGGGAGTGGACTGAATTTATTATTTTTTTTCTTTTTACCACTAGCGCCAGTCAAAATGTACCCTATTCACAAACTTATCTCACGGACTAGAATAGCTTAAAACCAATCTCTCTCTCCTCTAAATTACAGCCTCAGCTTGGCTTAAAAAAAAAAAAGAGATGCAAAGCATAAGCCTTGTTTTGTCATTGGGCGATGAATATAAGTGTGATTGACATTTGAATAGAGAAACAGCAAACTTACCCTCATTCTGATATTTCAGGTGGTTGCTTTTTCCTTTTCTTTTCCTCTCGTTTCTTCTTTTTTAACCACTGATGCCAGTAAAGATGTAAGTACCATATATATTCACATACATAATTTCATTTAATTCGGTAACTTGGTTGCGTTTATCGAACTGATGTCTGAAGTATCGGGTGCAAGTCCAATCCTAAAACGCTATAGCGAAGGTGGTTAGTTTGTTAGGAGCCGACGTGTCCTTTCAAAATAATGGCGTTATTTGGTCAGACTTATTCAATAATACGTGCGGAAATGGAAATGTTTCATAACTGGTCAAAGAAACTCAGCGAACTACAGCTGGATAATGTTTATAGCTCAACATCAGAGTAGAGACCTCTGGTTGTACGGTGATCGTTTGTTATGCAATTTTATGCCATTTTATGGAAGGTATTTCCTCGCAAGATGTTTTTGCACTCGAAATCCGCACGATAATTTTTTTGCTGAAATCACCCATACTCCCCCTCAAAAGTCAATTGGTCGGCCCCTAAGTTCGGTTTATTAATTCTTTCTGAAACGGAAAATGAAATTCAGAGCTGAGAGCAGAGAATTCAGAGAAGTGTTGTACATGTGATGTCCCTTTCATAAAAGTTATCGAAATAAGCTTTTCTGTCGAAAAATCAGTCATAATGATAATTAGTGGGCTGACCTGAGGCGGAATTGGGTTCGTAAGTGAAGTAGATTATTTGCTCACTGAAGTACTTGCCATACACTTATAGTTCGGCTACATACAGATACAGTGTTGACATTTTAAGGAAATTCTAAAAGAGCCTCAGACGCAGAAAAAAATCTTTCTCCGAGGCTGATATGGCCTGAGGTTATCTGATTTGAAAATGCTCCTGTTTCTCTCGACACAATGTCGTGCCGTTTTTCATTGGACGAAGACTGTGACTGACATTTGCATAGTTCAACTAGTTTACTGGTGCCACTAAAGATATATCTTATTCTTACTAACTTTGTAGTGCACGATTAATTTCAAGCAAGTCAACTATTTTCTCGCTTTGGGAGAGAAAATATAAAATACAAGAAAATAAAGACTCCTTCATTTCATAATCTGAAAGACCACAGTTTTTCCTATAATTTTGCTCTAGCATCTATCGTTTCAGGAACACGTTTTAGTTAAACTCGTCTAGTACTACAGTGATGGGTTTGGTAAATCGTGATTTTTGATGCGATCTGGTTGCAATTTTATGACGATGTTTTTACGATTTTGTTCAGGGGCACCCAATAATGTTTCTCATCGTTGTACAGCAGTTGCGCGGGTTAAAGGCGCCTGCAAGTTTCTTTAGAGGCACAAAACCTAGAAAAAAAATAGTTAAGAATGATCGTTTAATTAATAACTCCAACATGATCATATAAGACGAAGTCAGCACTAGTTATCTTTCGTTATTCAATACAATCCATGGCTTTCAATTGACTCCCAGAAAACAGAAACTGAAACGGAAACTGAATTGTCTTATCTTGAACTGATATCCCCCAAAAGGTAGATAACATCCATCAATGTTTTGCGTATTCTTGTATTTCATCCAGAAATTCAGCTATTTCGTCTTCGAATAGCCGTGAACGCCATTTTTTAGTTCATTTTTGCCCAAGCAGCCTAGTTTCCAATCAAATGTACCATCGAATCGATGGAAAAACTGTTCGCATCTTCCAAACATGATAGGCCCCGGTTGGTTAAATATGAAGATTTAGAACAGGGATAGGAGCCAATCGAAAACAGCGGAATATTTTGTATATATAATAAGTATTAATATGCGCTATTATTGTTTGCTTCAAACAAAAACTTATACACCATAGCTCTGTTGCTATCTTTGCCCGTACTCTATAAAAAACTTCAAGCCCATAATTAGCATGAAGTTGAGAAGAAGAAGTTGAGTCTGTATTTTTGTCATTGTAGCATCAGTGATAGACTTGTAGGAGCTTCATTGGACAGTATATCCTTATCTGTCAGTATGCTGATAATAAAACATATGTTCTCCTTGCTTCCTTTTGCTGTTTATAGCGGCATAGTCATTTCCTTAACCCGGTAGGGATTTGAAAACTGAAACATTTATTTAAGCAGACTCTCTGTTTTGACAGCTTGCAATCGCCTTTAATGCACCCACACGAAAGAGTTAGAAGACAATTTTTCTACCAAAAAGAAAATCAAAAAGTGCGCAGTAAGATTTAGTCTATCTCTGATCTAATCAATAGTTTACACTCAAAATAATTTGGATATGAGTGCTTTGCTTTTAATTATTTTGTCTTTACTATTTTGCTTTGTTTTGTTTTGTTATTGTAGCGTGTTTTGAATTTATTCGAAACAACCCCTAAAATACGAATTATGCCTTTGTTTCTAATGTTTATTTTCCGAGTGTCTTTGATGACAACTTGACATTAAATATTCAATTAGGCGCTCTTTATGATTGGTTGGAACATGACGTCAGCATCTTTCTTATTGGCTGAAAAGTCCTCCATTGTCTTTTTGCCTATAAATTTGAATGACTAACCGGATGTTTGGGCGGAACTGTAACACCAAAGTACTATACACATCTCTCCTCCACAACCACTTAATATTCACATCACTCTGGATACGTGCACGCCTAAGCCACTCTAAATTCACTGTATTCACTCAGTTTATTCAAATATCATCAAGTTATTATTCAAGTCAAACCATAGTTTCTCATTCCACTTCACTGATTTATTGAAGCAACTCACTGATTCATTCATTTATTTAAGTTATCAACCATTCATTGAAATCAATATAATTCTCTCTTAATTACAAGTGTATTATCCAAGGTTAAGTTCCAAAAACTTGACTGTGTGATTTTTCAATTTGATGGTTCCTTGGAGCATTTGCCAACTACATCAAAAATTTAATGACACTTGGCTTTTAGGTTTTCACATTACTGCTTACGTATTCTCATGTTGAAAAAACAAGTAAACAACAACAAAAAAAAACAGCAACAACAACAACACCCTCCATCACTTCACACATTACTTGTAACACAAACAATGTTGACATGGTTCAATGTAACCGTTGTAATTTACAATATATAGGTGAAACTAATCGACGTCTCAAGGACAGATTTAACGAACACAGACGTACAGTCGACAAAACTAACATTAAATCTAAACCCACTACTGTTTCTGAACACTTTCTCTCTCACTCTAACCATTCTCATACTGACATGCAGTTAATCCCGCTAGAGAAAATTCATTCTTCACGTGACTCAGTTCGTAAGGCCAGGGAGTCGCATTTGATAGATAAGGCCATGACTCTTGAACCTCATGGCCTAAACGGCCGTGACGAATTATTGTAATCCATATCCTTAGTATTTTTTCTTTCCAGTTTTTATGTTGTACGTCATTTCCGCCTCTCCCTTTTATTGCGACATTCTTCATCTATATAATATTGTGATTGCTACATAAGTTCAGTAACATCTGTAAACCTGAAGAAGGCTGGTATGGCCGGCGAAATATTGTTATAAAAAACAATACTCGTTGTTTTAAATCAGCTTTGCTGTAGTCTTCGGACTTCTCCTTCTTGTTCTTTATATTTTGGCTGATTTGATCTCTTTTCTAGAGATCCAACGTTTACAACTAGCAGGATCTTCGTCCACGGTTTTTGCAGTTAATTTAACAACAACAAAACTGACTCAATAATAAGAAAGTTGTCAGTAGTAATGTCACGTGATGCAAGAAACAGTGAACACGAGCTTTTCCAAATAGTTTTAAGCGAAAGTCCTAATTGTCGAAGTTCGCTTCAGTCAAACATCATTTAATCTGTATTTTTTTTGGCTGTACATTTTGCTGTACTGTCTGTTTTACGGTCAAACTAGTGCCGTGTTACTGACTATTCACCACACTGGCCCGCGAATCTCTAGACAGACACTCAGTCTTCTTTCATTTTTATTCATGATTGTTGAATATCCTTCACAATGCGTTCGGACTGCAGTGTGCTCCCTTTGTACCTGTATGATTTAGTCATTATTATTTTCATGGAGCTAATTTTTTTTTAACATTTGAAACGCCATTGGCCGTAATTGGTACTCGTTTCTTTGGAGAGGTGCAACGGGTCTCCGTGCCCAGCGAGGCTTATATTTCCCGAGGAAACATGGACAAATTTCTTTCAAAGCTTGACGAAAATTGGAACTAAATGAAAACAAAATGACTGGGTTCAAGACTGTGCTTAGCAAAGGAAAAACATAATAAGCAAAACCTAAGATTAACTTGCACTTATCTCGTAGAAAAAGTTCAGGAAAAGTAATTTTTAGAATCATGTAGCCACAGAAAAGGAACCAGGAAATAAAAAATGCTACGACGATAGACTTGAAAATCTTCATCACGTTTTGATTGTGCTTGGCTCTGTTCTGCTCGTTCCCAACTATGTCTTCCGTACCGTGTTCTGGTTGAAGTCGTCTCTGTAACACACGCATGATGCGCAGATACAGAATTGTAATTGCGGAATACAAAATGATAATTAGAATAACTGCAAATAAATATAATGGCATGGTCTTGTCTGCAGCTAGAGCTAATCTGCAGAATGATTCGTGTCCAACTTTGTCAATTACTGCATACAGAAACGTCGGGAAACAATAGCCTATGGACATGACCCATGATGAAAGCAACAATGACGCACGAATTTTCTTTGTTAACAAGGTGACTTTTAACGGGTACTTAGTAGCGATGAACCTGTCGACAGCTATCAAAAATAAGCTTAGAATAGACACTGAATGGGAAACATTCCTCATGAACACCCCCACTTTGCAGCTAGCCGTGGCTACAAAGCCTTTGATAAGACTTCCACGGCTTGTTATAATCTCGTCAGACAGGTATAGTGGCCAGGTGATAAGACAGGAGAGAAAATCAGACACCGCCATATTGACGTAATAGTAGTTGGTACTTGTTCTGAGGTATGGAACCTTGTACACGGCGGCGATGACTAGTACATTGCCAATGATCGCAGCCAAACTGATAACGGCCAACAGTGTTGTGAAGGTTGCAGATATGGCGTATGGGCACGGCATGTGATCAACCATATTACGGCTGGAGTTGTTCATTGCGATAACTCGCCTCAAACGGTGAATTTCAAACGTTCGTTTCGCTGACCTGAAAATACAAATTACGATTACCTTTCCTTGTTATAATAAAATGAAAGAGCAGTATGATTAGTTTTTGGTTTTTTACATATATGATTATGCAAACTAATTTTATTGGTGTGGCATGGGTATTGGCTTTGAAAGTCTTAATCCACGAACGGTATCGATCGTGCCCCTTAAGGTTACAATATAAGAACCTACTTATTTTCTGGTGCGTATGTACGTGCGTAGTCCTTTCCGCGAAAGGTCCTCGTGACATTGAGCGATGAGAGTTAAACTGGTTGTATTCACTAGTACAGAAAATATTAAACCCGCTAAAAATAGCGCTGGTATACAAGTGTTAAATGATTTTTAAAAAAATGCCTTTTGCCATCTGATTAGCAAAAGAGTATAGCACTTTAAGATAAAATCCGAGATGAGTAAGGAAGAAGGAAAAGACTGCGTATTAGTAATGGCCGTAATTTATACTAAGAGGACGTCTAAGACGTCTGGTATAAATATGGGAAATAAGGCAGATTCATTAAACGTCAGACGAATAAAACGTCCGAAGTTAAATGCGTCCGATCGACGCACTTAACAGATGAATTAGTCGTCTTAGACGTTTATGACGTCTAGTATAAAAACGGGACGCACTTAACGACGCACTTAACAGTCAGACGTGTAAATCTAATACGTCTGGACGTCTGGGACGTCTTCTAGTATAAATATAGCTATTTTCATCAAAGGCTATCGAAAAACCGCATCAATTTTATAATTGTCAATTTTCTCTCTCACGGGTTGATACCATCTTCAATTCTTTCCATGAATGTGAAATTATACGTAGGACTTGGAACAAAATATATATTATAATAACAGTACTATATATAGTTGCATACATTTGAATAATACCAGGGCTGATGTTGAGTCATGTAAGTCTAAACAGACTACAATTTATCGCTTTCCATAAAACACGTTTTATCGTTGCTATATTAAATCCATTTTGAAATATCATTTCATTTGCCCTTGGCCAAACAATTAGTAAGTCTTCCTCCTTTAACTCTTTAGTGTTTCTAACAATTTAGTACTGCTGCAAAATCCCGTCCTATTCGGAGCAATACTTTATAGATTATTCGACGTTAAAGCTGTGACGTCGACTAAGCAAAACGCTTATACCGTATTTTTTCGGTTATCAGTAAGGCACACTCGGTTATAAGACGCACCCTAAATTTTTGAACTTGATGCTTTGAAATTAACAAACTGAAAATTTCACATAAATACTTGGTTATAAGACGCAACCCCAACTTAAGTTGGCGCTTTTTTCGCCATCTTCACTTGCAAAACAACAGCATTTTCAAAGTTCCTAATTACAGTCATGGAAAAAGGTCACACATTTACAGGAACAAAGCGAAAAACAATCACACCTTTAGAAGAAATATTGATAAATACAGGCTTCCTTCTTAGGAAACAGTGTTACTTCCTAAAGCTATGAATACTACTTGATCCGTTTTAAGCTTTATCAGCGTGTCTCACCTAGTCGAACTCTTAGTTGTAAAACTTCATTCACAGTGTCAGTAAGCTTTCAAGAAAAAATCATGCAGAGTACTCGTCGTCATTCCTACGATCTCAACTTTAAATTGAAAATAGTAGTGGAGGCCGAAGCAGTTAACAACAATCGGGAAATTGCACGCGAGTATGGAATTTCCGTGTCAATGGTACGCAAATGGCGATAGCAACAGCATGTGCTGTTTAACGGGCGAGCCGTGACTGTCAAACGTGCATCCATGGTTCGGTACAGACCAAAAGATCCAAATCTAGATCAACGCTTAGCAGGCTGGTTTAGCGATCAAAGAAGCCACGGTACGATAAAAAATTATTTTGTCTTCAATTTGCGCTAATTGATTAACAGTCTACATAATCACTGTTAATACGCAACACGTGCATGTAAATACCTTGTCCTTTAACTCCGTACTGTTTTACTTTTTGTAGGACTTTCAGTAAATAGTGTGATGCTCCGATTATGCGTTCGTCAGATGCGAATCCAAATACCACCGAGAATGCAGTTCTCAGTACACAAGAAAGGCTGTATGGATGAAGAAGGTATTTTTCTTTTGTTGTTTATTTTCGGTAAGTCTTTCGATAGAACAGTTGTTCAGCGCGGGGATTGTCAGAATTGTGACATCATTTGTACCATTTAACCGACACGGTCATTTTCCGTATTGGCGATTGCCTATACCACGCACCCCGATTTTGGAACAGATCGAGGTTGTTCAAGCAAAATTTCTTTCAAAAATGCTGCAGAAAATGGAATTCGGATTTAGATTGGCTGAAAGGAACTAAGCTATCACGTAAAAGGTTAAAAATACAACCGAACCTATTCTCTGATATTGCAAGTAAATACACTAAAGACAATAATCTTGTTTGTCTTCAGGTGAAGTAGATGAGTGTGAGTGACATTTAGTTGAATAGTTAAACAAGCAAACGTTCCCTCGCTCCAATAATACAGGTGGCAGTCCTTTTTCCTCTTTTTCCTCTTATTTATTATTTTTTTTCTTTTTACCACTAGCGCCAGTCAAGATGTACCCTATTCAAGAACTTATTCCACTGACTAAAATGGCTTAAACCCAGCCTCACTCTTCTCTTAATTACAACCTTAGTTTTGCTTAAAAAAAGCTTAAAGGCATTAAAGGCATTAAAATGTTGCATGTGTTAAATCGTTTTCATTATGATATGCAAACGATGTTTTTTATTCCAGTTTTTGGTTTTAGATTTTTCTCTCTGTATATATATTTTAGATTCTAGATTTTACCCTTTCATCTTTTATTTTGGGAAATCCTTTATATAGGGTTGACCTCAAGATATTCCCTTTCGAGAGATATTTTGTAACTTTAGTTTTTATCTCTTGAATAAAGTTTTGTATTGTATTGTATTAATTGTATTGTATGAAGCCTTGTTTTGTCATTGGGCGATGTAGATAAGTGTGATTGACATTTGAATAGTGAAACAGCAAACTTACCCTCATTCATGATATTTCAGATGGTTGCTTCTTCCTTTCCAGTAGTACAGAATTTCATTTAATTTGGTAACTTGGTTGCGTTTATCGAACTGATGGCTGAAGTATCGGGTGCAACTCTAATCCTAAAACGCTATGGCGAAGGTGGTACCGGTTTGCCGTGAGGAGCAGACGTGTCCTTCAGAAATAATGGTGTTATTTGGTCAGACTTATTCAATAATACGTGCGGCGAAATGTTTTAACCGGGTTTCCACAAAAATATTTCAGAACTGGTCAAAGAAACTCAGCGAACTACAGCTGGATAATGTTTATAGCTGAACATGAGAGTTGCGACCTCTGGATGTACGGTGATGGTTTGTTAAAAAAAATAAGAATTTTTTTCCCGAAAACCAAGAGCCATAACAGTTTTGAATCCGAAAATTTTAGTTTTCCTTTTTTTGTACGAAAATGGCCTAAAATAGCAGAAAAATGTGAAAAATGAAACTTCTATTAGAAAATCGTAGCAACCTCTGGTGATGGAATTTTTTCCCCCGACATACAAAGCCATTTTATGGAAGGTATTTTCTTGCAAGATGTTTTTTCGTTCGAAATCTGCACGATAAATTTTTTTTCGGCTCCTAAGTTCGGTTTATTAATTCTTTCTGAAACAGAAAATGGAATTAAGAGCTTTAGTTAAATGAGACGTGTTGTACATGTGATGTCCTTTTCATAAAAGTTATCGAAATAAACTTGTCCGACTGTCGAAAAATCAATAATAATGATAATAAGTGGGCTGACCGGCTGAGGCGGGATTGCGTTCGTAAGTGAAGTAGAATATTTGCTCACTGAAGTACTTGCGATACACTTATAGTTCGGCTACATACAGATACAGTGTTGACATTTTAAAGCGTTAAAATCTAAAAAGAGCCTCAGATGCAGAACAAATCTTTCTCCGAGGCTGATATGGCCTGAGGTTATTTGATTTGAAAATGCTCCTGTTTCTCTCGACACAATGGCGTGCGGTTTTTCATTGGACGAGGACTGTGACTGACATTTGCATAGTTCTAACTAGTTTACTGGTGCCAATAAAGATATATCTTATTCTTACTAACTTTGTAGCGCACGATTAATTTCAAGCAAGTAAACTATTTTCTCGCTTTGCCGGGAGAGAAAATATATAATATAAGAAAATAAAGCGTCTTTGGTTCGAGACTCCTTCATTTTATAATCTGAAAGACCACGGTTTTCCTTATAATTTAGCTCTAACATATTTTCAGGAACACGTTTTAGTTAGACTCGTCTAGTACTATAGTGATGGGTTTGGTAAATCGTGATTTTCGATGCGATTTGGTTGCAATTTTATGACGATGATTTTACGATTTTGTTCAGGGGCACCCAATAAATGTTTCTTCTCGTTGTGCAGCGGCTGCGGTTAAAGACGCCTCCAAGTTTCTTTAGAGGCACAAAACCAAGAAAAAAAAAAAATAGTTTAGAATGATCGTTTAATTAAAAACTTCAACAGGATCATATAAGACTAAGTCAGCTCTAGTTATCTTTCGTTACTCCATGGCTTTCAACTGACTCCCAAAAAAGGACTAGAGACGGAGCTAGCCTGCAATTTTATTAACATTTTTTAATTTATTTGATAGATATTTTTATAAATATTTTAAATTTGTTTTATAAATTTTATTTTTTTTGTAATGTTTTTAATTTATTTATAGCGATTGTGCAAACCATTCGTGACCAAAAAGGTGCTGGTCTTGAAACTCGTCCCAGTCCCTTTGCCTAAGATGATCATTTGAAGCCGAAATTGTCCCTATGTCAATGAAACAAGAACAATGATCTCCCCTTGAATGGTAACTAGGTGTTTTTACTCTTATGACTACAAGAAAAAAGATATTTAAACAGGACCCCTGATTTAAAAGAAAAAAATAATTGGAGAGAAGAAATTGTATTATTTAGGTAATAATCATGACGTGAAACTACGCATTTGGAGAAACAGAGAATGAGAGATGAAGTATGAGATAACGTTAATTAAAGCTGTCCACTTTTCTTACACTTTTTACAAGAGAGGATATTTTGAAGTCAGTATACTCAAAGATTTACAAGCCAGACAAACAAACAGGCTCGAGGTTTTAGTTTTTGCAATATGATAATAATTTTTGATGTTCGTTCAACGCGCAGCTAGGGAAAAAAATACTTAGGAGTAGGGGCACATGCGACGAAAACAAACACGGTGACCCCATCTTTTTATAACAGTTTTTGCAGCGTCCTATTGATGGCTGTCAATTGTGCCAAGTTTGAAAAATATGGAAACTACTGACGTCCTTTTCAAGGTAATGTATAACTTCAAGGGGACATGTCACGCTATTTGCTACCTTTTAGGGCCTGTTTACATGGAGTGGGAGACCCCGGTCTAGCTAGTGGGGTTGGTTTCTTTTGTTTTCACGCTCTGGGGGACACAAAACAAAAGAAACCTACCCCACTAGACCGGGATCCCCCACTGCATATAAACAGGGTCTAAATCTGAAACTTGTCCTCGATCTCATCATGACAATTAAATTCCAAAAATAATGGTCCAGTTTTGATTTTCAAGAGTATTATTTAGCCATTGTAACTGTTTCCAGCTACCTACTAGTTGCAATCGATGGCAAGGATAATCATGGACTGAAAGTTGGGCCAAAGTTTTTTAAGATTTCATGCTTAGCCTGCAAAAATTGTGCCCCCTGATGAAACTTGTTTGATAAAAGTACGTATGTATATTATGTCATTCTTGCGTCATGTTTCTAATCCAAGATCCGATAATAATTATAAGTATTAAACAATTATTGAATGAGGCTGAATAGGATGTAAAGAATTATAAAGATCGAGAAGGATAATTATTATCCACCGACGCTGGACGCCGAGCTGGATACTGAACATCTTTCGAGATCTACATAATTCTTTACATCAAATGAAAGCCAAAACGAATTCAATAATTGTTTTATTATTATTAATTCAAAATATTTCGAAGTTCTTAACGTGTTTACTTCCTCGCGTAGACGTTCTTCAAAACTTTGGCCTTTTTCTCAGCACAGTTCCAGGATATAAACTGAATTGTTTTATCTTGAACTGATACCCCCCAAAAGGTAGATAACATCCATCATTCGAGCAATATGTCTTGCGTATTCTTGTATTTCATCCTGAAATTCAACTATTTCGTCTTCGAATAGCCGTGAACGCCATTTTTTAGTTCACTTTTGCCCGAGCAGCCTCGTTTCCAAATGTACCATCGAATCGATGGAAAAACTTTTCGCATCTTCCAAACATGGTAAGCTCCGTTTGGTTAAATATGAAGATTTAGAACAGGGATTGGAGCCAATTGAAAACAGCGAAATATTTTGAATAAATAATAAGTATTAATATGCGCTATTATTGTTTGCTTCACTGACAAAAACTTATACACCATAGCTCTGTTGCTTTCTTTGCCCGTACTCTATGAAAAACCTCAAGACCATCATTAGCATGAATATACCGACGAAGAAATAGCCCTGTAAGTCTCAGAAGTTGAATGTGTATTCTTGTCATTATAGCATCAGTGATACAGCCTTGTAAAGCTTTATTGGACAGTATTGTCTGTCAGTATGCTGATAATAATACATATGTTCTCCTTGCTAATCCTTTTGCTGTTTATAGCGGCATAGTCATTTCCTTAACCCGGTAGGGATTTGAAAACTGTAACATTTAGTTAAGCAAGCTCTGCTATCGGTTTTAATGCACCTATACGAGAGAGTTAGAAGACAATTTTTCTACCAAAAAGAAAACCAAAAAGTGCGCTGTAAGATTTAGTCTATCTCTGATCTAATCAATAGTTTGCACTCAAAATAATTTTCTGCGTTAGCATTCACGACAATAATTTGGATATAAGTGCTTTGCTTTGCTGTTAATTATTTTGTCTTTACTATTTCGCTTTGTTTTGTTTTGTTATTGTAGCGTGTTTTGAATTTATTCGAAACAACGGAAACAACCCCTAAAATACGAATTATGTCTTTGTTTCTAATGTTTATTTACCGAGTGGCTTTGACAACTTGACATTAAATATTCAATTAGGTTCTCTTTATGATTGGTTAGAACATGACGTCAACATCTTTCTTATTGGCTAAAAAGTCCTCCATTGTCTTTTTGCCTACGTGCACGCCTAACTCACACTTAATTCACTGTATTCACTCAGTTTATTCAAATCTGATCAAGTTATTATTCAAGTCTAACCATAGTTTCTCATTACGCTTCACTCATTTATTGAAGCAACTCACTGATTCATTCATGTATTTAAGTTATCAACCATTCAGTGAAATCAATATAATTCTCTGTTAATTACAAGTGTATTATCCAAGTGTAAGTTCCAAAAACCTGACTGTGTGATTTTTCTATTTAATGGCTCCTTGGAGCATTTACCAATTGCAACTACATAAAAAATTTAATGACACATGGCTTTTAGGTTTTCACAGCACTGCTTAGTACGTGTTCTCACGTTGAAAAGTCAAGGAAAAGAAGTAAACAAACAAAAAAACAGCAACAACAACAAAACGGACTAAATAATAAGAAAGTTGTCAGTAGTAATGTCGCGTGATGCGCGAACAGTGAACACGAGCCTTTCCAAATAGTTTTAGCGAAAGTCCTAATTTTCGAAGGTCGCTTCAGTCAAACATCATTTAATCTGTAATTTTTTTTTTGCGGTACATTTTGCTGTACTGTCCGTTTTACGGTCAAACTAGTGCCGTGTTAGTGACTATTCACCACACTGGCTCGCGAATCTCTAGACAGACACCCAGGGTTCTTTCATTTTTATTGGATGATTGTTTAATATGCTTCACGATGCGCTCGGGCTTTCGTGTGCTCCCTTTGTATGTGTAATTCACTCATACTGAATTTAATGTTGTTATTTTCATGGAGCTAATTTTGTTTGATCATTTGAAACGCCATTGGCCGTATTTGGTACTCGTTTCTTTGGAGGGGTACAACGGGTCTCCGTTCCCAGCGAGGCTTAAATTTCCCGAGGAAAAATGGGCAAATTTCTTTCAAAGCTTGACGAAAATTGGAACTAAATGAAAACAAAATGGCTGGGTTCACGACTGTGCTTATCAAAGGAAAAACATAATAAGCAAAACCTAAGATTAACTTACACTTATCTCGTAGAAAAAGTTCAGGAAAAAAAATTTTAAGAATCATGTAGCCACAGAAAAGGAACCAGCAAATAAAAAATGCTACGACGATAGACTTGAATATCTTCATCACGTTTCGATTGTGCCTGGCTCTCTTCTGTTCATTTCCAACTATGTCCTCCGTACCGTCTTCTGGTTGAAGTCGTCTCTGTAACACGCTCATGATGCGAAGATACAGAATGGTAATTGCGGAATACAAAATGATAATTAGAATAACTGCAAATAAATATAATGGCATGGTCTTGTCTGCAGCTAGAGCTAATCTGCAGAATGATTCGTGTCCAACTTTGTCAATTACTGCATACAGAAACGTCGGGAAACAATAACCTATGGATATGACCCATGATGAAAGCAACAATGACGCACGAATTTTCTTTGTTAACAAGGTGACTTTTAACGGGTACTTAGTGGCGATGAACCTGTCGACAGCTATCAAAAATAAGCTTAGAATAGAGACTGAATGGGAAACATTTCTCATGAACACCCCCACTTTGCAGCCAGCCGTGGCTACAAAGCCTTTGATAAGACTTCCACGGCTTGTTATAATCTCGTCAGTGAGGTATAGTGGCCAGGTGATAAGACAGGAGAGAAAATCAGACACCGCCATATTGACGTAATAGTAATTGGTACTTGTTCTGAGGTATGGAACCTTGTACACGACAGCGATGACTAGTACATTGCCAATAATTGCAGCCAAACTGATAACGGCCAACAGTGTTGTGAAGGTTGCAGATACGGCATAAGGGCACGGCATTTCCATATTAAGGCTGGAGTTGTTCATTGCGATAGCTCGCCCCTAACGGTGAATTTCAAACGTTTCTTAAAACTGCAGCCTTGTTTCGCCGACCTGAAAATATACACATTATGATTACCTTTCCTTGCTAAAGGGCATTATGATTAGTTTTTGGTTGTTTACAGAACTGCTTATGTAAAACTAATTTTATTGCTGCGCAAGGGTAGCTTTAAAAGTTGTAATCCACGAATATTATTGATCGTGACTGTTAAGGTTACAATATAAAAACCTACTTCTTTTATGCGTTCATCCGCGAAAAGCCCTCGCGACACTGAGCGATAAGAGTTAAACTGGCTGCATTCACCAATACAGAAAATAGTAAACGCGCTAAAAATAGTATTGATATATAAGTGCGATTAACGATTTAAAAAAAATGCTTATCGCTGTTTGATTAGCAAAAAAGTACAGCACTATAAGATGAAATCCGAGATGAATACCGTAATTAAGTTCCCAAAGTAACTCCCCGAAAGTAGCGATAAGATTTCACAGGTGTTAGCAAATGCCAAAAGTAGCGACCTTCCGATGAATAAAAGTGATTTCTCTTCTTGCTAGAAATACGGAAATTATAGTTACAACAAGCTTTACCAAACTGATCCGAGGTTTATTTTTAACGGTTATATTGATCTTTGACTTCTTCTAGAAAACCGCCCTGGGCGCTTATACGGAAATTATTCGAGGTGGGCGTTTATTCGTTAAATTTCAATTCAAGTAGTTTTTTACTAAAACTGATCCAAAGAAGGTTTCTTTATTTTTAACGGTTATATTGATCTTTGACATTCCTCAGTAAGTAACTCAAAAGATACATATAACATCTTTTTTTTTCAAAAAGTCTTCCTTTCGTCTGTAAATACCCACGCCGTCATCAAACAATTCTTTTGAATATTGATTTAAAAAGCAAAAAGTAAACCTGAAACATGTTTCTCCAAATAAAAAGTGTGGATGTTTCACAACTGTCGCGAAATTACTTATTATCGCTCGTTCGGCCCATGTACGATATACGTTTTAGCTACCAGAAAGTAGCGACCTCCTAATAGTAGCGACCCTCCGAAAGTAGCGATAGGAAAAGGCTGCTAAATTTGAAAGTTCCGAGGGTCGTTACTTTCGGAACTTTACGGTAAGGAAGAAGGAAAAGATTAGATATTTTAATCAAAGGTTGTTGAAAAACTGCCTCAATTTTATAACCCCGGGTTATAACTGTCAATTTCCTTTCGCAAGAGTTGATGCCATCTTCATTTTGCTCCATGAAAGTGAAATTATAGTGGGTCGGTAGGATTTGGAACAAAATATAATAACAGTATAGTTGCACACTTTTCAATAATCCCAGGGCTGATGTCCAGTTGCAAACCTATAAACAATTTGTCGCTTTCCATCAGGAAAACACTTTTTATCGTTGCTAGAATACCATTTTGAAATATCATTTCATGTGCTTTTGGCCAGAAATTAGCAAGTCTTCCTCCTTTAACTCTTTAGTTTATCTAACAATTTAGTGTTGCTGCAGAATCCCGTCGCATTCGAAACATTTACCTCATAGATTTTTTCGACGTTAAAGCTGTGACGTCCACTAAGCAATTAAACGCTTATTATTCACGAAGACTGCGCAAAACAGGTGCGAAATTTTGCATTGAACGAAAGGCTTACCCGTAACTGAACGCCAAAACAGTTTCTAAATATCGTTATCTTTGTAGCGTTTTCGTCGAGGCTACTTTTGAGCATTGATATATTAGACGCGCACAGAAAAAACTTTTATATTCTAAAGTCAACATAAAAACATTTGAATTTCTTTCAGTTTGGATATCCCTGAACCTTTCCAACATGAAAATAGAAAAGTGCAAATAATTTGATCAAAAAGGAGCACTTCACTTCACTTTACAAAGTTCCCTAATAAACCCTTAAAACAATGAGAATTTTTTTTTCCCCTCATAAGGACTTGCCCGGTATAAGCTTTTAAAAGAAACATAGCAACTAAATTGTGAGAGCTGACGGCCAGTGTCAAATATTGTCTTTAAATGCGCAAATCTGAAAGCAGTGATTAATATTCGACTTACGAAGTCCCAACGGTTTCCGAGTCATCGTGTTAAGGAAACCGGTCAGGTTTTTGGTCGAAAAGCGAAAAACCAGCGAACATGACAAAACTGTTATGTTTGGACGTTGAAGTCATATAGGTAGAAATGCCTTAAGTTTGTTTCGCCTTTATTTATTGCCTTCCTCAATTATTCCGATCCGATCCCTCGGATATTATTGTCAGTAGGGTTCTTGTTTGTAATTTACACTGTCGTCGTTAGATATCAGTCACTTTTGTAAGTTAATGCAGGGGCACCCAGCGACTGTAAAATAACTGTTCGGAGAAGCAAATATTGCCTAAATAGAAATTTCTAAAACTTGCGAGCAGCTAAAAATTTCTGGATAACCGTTTCATTCGTCTTAAATATTCGGACGTTTCTAATACCTTATTTAAGTACGATTTTCGGAGGTTGTGTTATTCTCATTTTGATACGAAGATATTGCGATTTTTGTTTAAAAAGGGCTCCTAAAACTTTCGGTATAAAGACAAAACGTCTCCTATAATTTTCGAATGAAAGCAAGGCTTAGAACTTCATGTCAACATTCGGTCGTTGGGTGCCCGTTTCATATTGTAGTACTGAACATATTTTAGTCGGAGGTATTAAACGGATTATCTTAAAATATTACCTGACAAAAATCGCATTAATAAAACTCTCTTCGTTTAGGCAGATATATAAGATTACGGTAGTTTCGTGTAATAAATTTAATATAGTGGTTCCTGAACAAGATTTTATGCATGTAAATAATACCAGTTGAGAATTTCCTTTTTACAGAACTAGAAATAAACTTCTTCTTTCATGCTTCATTTGGTGGGATGGTGTAAGGCATCCCGATGAGAAAACAGATCTATTGGGAGGTTTGATTAAATAATTGAATTTTCTGAAGCCAGCGATCTCTTAAACCTTATAATTATTTCCTACTCATGGTATAGTACAAGGGCTGGTGAATCGTTAGTACACTGACATCGGTCGATATAGGTGACACTGAGGCGATAGCATTTTATTGCCTGCGCTGGTGAATCGCATCGACCTTTCCTTCACACTGAAGGGAGGTCTCTAGTAGAGATGCACTTACCTTTAACAGAGAAGTTCGAACATATAATGGCCGCTGTTCTTTTCTTGGCATAATATCGGGTTTCGATGATTTCGTACTAACTTCACTTTTTTAAGGAGATGCCTACAATAATGAGGTATATTTTTCCACTATAAGTAAGCAGAAGTCAGCATTTGAGACAGATAAGTTTGTTTCTGTGAAGATTTGTTATTTTCAGTTTTGACGTTTTAGTCACCTTTTTTTCATCATATCAACTCATAATCAATCAACGCTGTAATAAGGTTTGAGTGTAAATAATATAATAGCGCTTCATGTATTTTATGGTCTCTATTGCAAAGTGATTAGTCATTGAATAGAAATAAGTTTCATTGATGTTTGCATTCACCTGCTTTCATGACGTTTGCAAAGTTTAAACATCTGCTAAACCGTTTTTATCCCGAAAAGTGCGAGACATCCAAGTCAACATCCAAGTTGTTGTACTGACATTGTTAGCTTCATGACAGATACATCCTACGGTTTCTTCAAATTGTACGTGAACCGGCGACAGCTCGTGGGAAAAACTCTTACCAAAACAAGCGTTGCTCAAGTAACCTCACAGCAATTTCAAGTCCAAAGAATACAGGTCCAATCCTTATTTTAATGTCGGCTTTGACTGCCGAAAACGTTTTCCGTGACAGTTTAATAGCGTTTTATTGTCAGTCACTTATTCTATAAGTGATGGGAAAAATCATTTTAGCATATTCATTCTAGCTCTTCTCTAATCTTGTTTTAAGCAAACATTTTAAATTTCCGTTAAAAAACTAGACTGCGAGCATCCTCTCTTTTTCTTCAGATTTAGTTAGGGGAGTGCACGCGCGCGCGAGCGTGGAGCGGTGAAGCCGCGAGACGCGAGAAACAAGGGAGGCAGCTCCAGAAGACCTCTCTCGTCTCACCCCTTCCGTCGCGTGCGTGGTCATTTTCTATTACAAAACAAATGGTATTACGCAGGAGCCCATCTCCTGTATTACGTGATTAAGGTTACATGGAATAAGGCACGAAATTCGTAGTTTCGTCCTTAGAGCAGCGCATAGCATGCCGCATGCTAAAACTTGCGCATTAAATAAAGGTTGCCCGTCTAAATGGTAGAGGCTTCGCCGTTTACCTGTGACCAGTTCCTCAGATCATTAGGCTTAAACCATATGCTTGTGTACCGTATAGGCCGTAGCTTACAGAAAACACTAGAAATATAGGTAAATTAGCCTGGGAAAAACCTTGTTCGGCGGCTAGAACTACACTCACCCGGACTCTTGGCTCACATAGGACTCTTCAATATTTTGTAGATTTTTTGGTCCTGTTTACACGGAATTTTAAACGGCGGTGGGTCTATATTTTTGTACGGCTAAGGTAGTTTAGTGTAAACGGAACAACTAAACGCACGAATTTTCAACCGGTGCCGTCTGAACGTAGCCGAAGGTAACTTAAATAGCTAACTAATGCATTTTACTTTGCATCTTTTTATTGAAAATTTCTGCAGAGAAAGCAAGAATTGGCATTCAATTTCAAGGCCTGAGTATCAAAAATTCCCAGGAAAATTCTTGTGAGTAATCCTTCACTGCACGCCCTCAGCCTTTCCCCCACTAACCTCTTCAACTCTTCTGATCACTGAACGGATGGCCACACAGATCAAATAGGCGCCGACCTTACTATGAATGCATTTCAAAATGATCCGTTTACCTCTTAGAAAAAACGAAGCAAAGACATGATTTCTGAACACACCAGGCACCAGCTTTTTTTGCCATGGTTTTCACCCAACGTTGTAAACAACAGGTTTCAAAATTCTCCCATGCAGGCTTTTGACGTCATCGCTTTCGAAAGTCTCCTTTTACATCTATCCTCCTTGCAACTGGAGCGTTTTTTAAACAATTCGTTTTTCTAAGACTCCAGTTTTTAATTAAAACCATTTTCTTAAGCCGGTTTCGTTTTCATCAGCGTTTTACTACCGAAGGTTTTAGTATAAACTCGATAAGCGAAAACAGAGCAAAACATAAGCGTTTTCATTTGAAAACGCATTACTGTGGTAGATCATTTACCCTTTTACTAAAAATAGCCTCGATTTCTTTTAGGGTTTTTCCTTTAGTTTCCGGCATAGCCATATAAACAAAGACAAAACCAAGAATGGAACATCCTCCAAAGAACCAATACGTTCCCTGAATGGTCATTGACGTCTGCATGATGTTATACGTCTTGGTAACAATAAATAGTGCCAGCCAGTTCGCAATGGTTGCCAGACTAGTGCACAGTCCTCGAGCTTGTGTGGGAAATATCTCTGACATGATAAGCCAAGGTACTGGAGCCCAAGCCAAAGCAAAAAACAAGTTGAACAAAACTATACAGACGACAGAAAGCCAGTTTATCTTTGAAGCGGGAACTGAATGGCTGATGGGACCCAAGAGGGAGGTTACGTCAAGAGAAGAGTTTGCACCGGTTGGTGGTATGTAGATTTCAAAATATGTACCAAGGCCAAAAAGAGTACAGGACATAGCAATTGACATTGTTAACAGAAGGATCCGTCGTCCCGTTTTGTCAATCGCTAAACATGCCAAAGTGCAACCTAAAAGCTGGACCAATGCAACTGAAATGCTAACAAGTTTGCCGTCTGAAAAGCCTGCAACTGTAAAGATACTTGCAGTATTAAATACCACAGCAGCGACCCCAGATAGCTGTTGGAAAATCATTAGTCCAATGCTAATTATTAAAGGCTTTGCTATCACAGGTGATAACCAATCTTGCAGCGAAAGCTTTTTTTCATGATCTGCAAATAGAAAATACATGTATATAAAATCAGAAAACATGAGTTCAAGCCATGCATTTTACTTCATTTAGTGACCTCTTTAGTGCGTGCATGCATTTTACTCTTGATTTTAAAAAGGGATATTTTTTGTGTGGTCTTAATTTTCCGGCGTATCGTTATATCGTTTGATCATCCTTTCAATTAATGCAGCGCCGAAAAGAAAAGAAAGAGGAAAAAGGAATGCTGAAAAAAGCGATGAACAAAATGCGAAGATTTTCTACCACTCCCTCTCCCAAAAAGATACTTTGATTTAAAGTCAGTGCTTTATAAATAATCTCTAATATGATTTCTATCCCTTTGCTGTTCGTGATAAATTTTGCTGTGATTTATTACATTCAAGCCAGGTCACCCGTATCGCCAGATATTCTATTAATATACTCAATATTTGAAATTAAATCTGTTAGTCTCTGCCAAAATCAGATGATCGGTGAAGGTAAAAAGAGAGAATGATTTTGCGTAGACTTGAGGAATTGCATAATTGCGCGTTAAGTAACATATTCAACTTAAGGGTGGATTTCCCCTGTCGCGTAATTTTTCCGTGCGTACGCAGCCACGTAAATCGGTAGGTCGCGCGTACACGTAAAAGTTGAACCTCGCTCAACTCTTGCGCATGCGTTTACGAGCGACCTTCTATTATATTTACGCGCATAAAATTTGTATCGGTAATAGCATGATTTGCAGTGATATTTGGCATAAATACAACGAGTGATATTTCTTAATTGTTATACGTAATTTTGAGACAATTTCGAAATATCACTGGTGGTATTTATGCCAAATATCACGTACAGATCATGCTATTAGTTGTTTATACTACTCCCCACAAAAGGTTTGTAATTTTCACATGTAGGTATTTCAAATTAAGCTAAAATACCACTGCTCTAAGCCAATCAAATAGCACAAATTTCTCAAGTAGTAGTATAAACGTGTGTACAAACGGACTGAAATAACGCGACAGTGGAAATCCATCACCTAAAAAGCACGCGCGGCCTCTTTTGGCGCCAATCTGAAGGAGACAGACACGGTTTTTATGGAAATTGATGCATCTATGAGCTAGGCTTCCACCAAGAAAATAAAACTGAAGGAATTATTTGATTAAAAGTGTGGACGACGCGATCGCTATAAAATTCTGGCAACCATATCCCTTATTAAATGCACCCTACCGGAACGATGGTAAATGGATGCAAATACGCAGAATACGTTTAACGCTAAAAAGAGAAGTAAAAAAATGCTGGATTGAACCTTCTGGAAGGAGCATCTTAAAATTAAATTAAATTGGACTGATTCTCTCTAATCTAATCTTAGGTATTGGGAGCATGAAATCGCTTGTGCGTCGGTACTCATACTTGTAAAAAAAGGACCCTCGTACCAATAGTTGACTCAACGTTGAAGCATTCCTCTTCAGTATCGCCGTCAGTGCCCCGTAACCAAACGAGAGACTCTAATGCTTCTGTTCGTTTTTTCTTCCTTAGTAACCATAACGGGGTCTCTGGCATAAAGTACAAAAATGTAACGAGGAGGGCCGGGAAAACTCCGCCGATAAAGGCCAGTAAGTTCCATTGGCAGAGGACACCTGCCAGATAGGATATTACAAAGCCGATAACGATCGCCAGTGTGCCAATAGAACCCAGCATGCCACGTTTTCTTGGGTGTGCAATCTCGGCGATGTATACCTTTACAGAAACAGAATTTCACAGTTAAGAGCCCCTGGGAGGAGGGCTGGTCCCAGTGGCCTGAACGGGCATGGAATTCCTTTTTTTCCTTAAGAAAGTGGGATATCACGCTTAACAAGTGAGCGACCATATTTCGAAGTCTGCCTAAAAGGCTACGTTTTTTGTGCGTGTTTAAAAATAAAACGATACATTCAATTGAAAGAGGGAAATGCTGTCCTCTTGAACGGGATAGCAAAATGAGAAGAATGATATAATCTCAAACCCACTGGTCAGGGTTGGTAATTAAGGCCACAGAGGCACTATGCTAGGCTGCAAGCTTTATATAAGCAATGCTTTCCTTTTCACTCAGAATAGCAATCCGGTCGTAATGTGTCTTAAACTCATTTTAGCAGGCGAGGTACAAGGGGGGTGGGTGGGGGGGCGTCCCAGGGTTAGGATCAGGAGTCAAGGAACAGTGAAGAGGGATTCTTTAATAAAAAAATTTCTTGAGAAAAATATGAAAAGCAACGTGAATATATTGGTATTTTGGGCAAATATTGAGCAACTTTTTAGACATTTTCAGCATTTTTTTTAAAATTAGAACCCCGGGTTATGATTCTAGGGGGTTAAAAAAATTAAGTCTCCCACTTTTCCCACCCACTCTGGAATCCCCTATTTTCCACTTTCAGTCACTTACCGTAAAATTCCGAAAATGAGCCCCTGGGCTTATATTTTTCAAAGGCCCTTTTTGAGGGGCTTATTTTTGGAGGGGCCTATATATATTCGGAGGGGCTTATCTACGGAAGGAAATTTGCGTTTCGAAATGGATTGGGCTAGCCTCATAGTTGGAAGTAAATTTAACGTTTTTGCTTTGTTTTACTTTGTATTTGAGGGCAATTTTCCGAAGCCCCCAGGGGGCTTATATTTGGAGGGGCGATTTAACCGAGGGTTTTTTGCGTTACCGGTTTGAAGGGCTTATATTTGGAGGGGCTTATTTTCGGAATTTTACGGTATTTAAAAAAAAGAAAAAAAAAAGCTTACCGGAGTAGCAAGTGAAACAATGCCACAAGCTAAGCCCGTACTGATGCGACCAGAGTACAACATAGCCCGATTCTGCGCAAAGCTAATCAGAAGCCATCCAAGTTCAAAGGGAACAGAACAGAGGAGTAAGGTCCTCTTGCGACCAAACTTATCAATCGCCCATCCACCTATGGGACATCCAAAAATGGCACCGACTGCTACCAAAGACTGCAAAAATGGAAAGAAAAAGGGGTTTGTTTGGGTTTTTTTTTTTTTTTTTTACAGAAACAGCCGTTGGGTGCCCTTAAACGGTGCGTGTAATCATCTTTATAACACTTCCGTGGATGAGCCGTGGAACGATGAAGAAAAAATCCATATTTATACCATGCACACGTCCTACAAACTTGTGTTGTGTTCAGTTAGGTTCAGTTCGTTATGGAAAAAAAAAACCTTTTTCCTCATTTTTTAATTCTATGAAAGTTTTAATATTTCACCCCGGTTATATTTATTCATATTATTCAAGCATTGAACATGCAAAAGATTCGGCATTAGAGATGCTGCGCTGAATGCGCTCGATACTTAATTCGCTTTTGATCAGTAAAGAAAGAACGCGGCTCTGTCAGATTAAACTTGTCCCCATGGTCCCCATGGAGCATTGATTCCAACAAAATTCTCTACTTCGGTGACAATTAGGCCCGGTTCAAACGTCCAATTTTATATGTGCCGAATCTAATAATGGATCCTAATACCTATTCAGGTCGACCCAAACTATAAAAGCTCGACTGTTGGTTTAAACGGTGGAAATTTACCTGTGCCAAACCTAATTCGTGGCCAAAACAAATATCATCCTTACTGCCAAAATAGGGAAATAGACTGAAAAAAGTAAAATTCACAAAACCTGAAAATTCTTGTTTTGATTTTAGTGCGATTTGTGTTCTGTTGTGGCAAGGAGATCGTGATCATAGTGACAATTGGACAAAATAAAGTAACGCCATAAATTTCAAAATACAATACGCTGTGAGTTATGTCCGCACAGGAGCGAAAACCCACTATATAGCCAATCAGAGGCGCTGTTATTTTTTAAAAATTCGTTAACATAATTTATGAATTACATGCGTCGTGAGAGTCAGACCCCTGCTAGCAGGGAATCGGCACATGCAAAGTGCGACGTATGAGTCGAAGTCGATCTTTTGCCGTTCTATTCGACAAGAGTCTACGTATACCCAAATACAAAAGTGTCTAATAATTAGGTTCGGCACATGTAAATTTCGAGGTTTGAACCCGGCTTAAGTCGGCAACCGGAATTCCAAAGGTAATGAAAGGGAAACAGTTGAAAACGCTATCCCAGATCATGCAACGCAAAGAACTAAAAGGAACAGCAAATCACGTGACAGCTTGTAGATCCAAAGTCTTATTGTCCCCGCAGGGATTTCGCCCAGAGGCGAAATCCCGAGGAGGCACCCTAGTAACTCGCGCGTATATTAAAGACAGTACTTACAGTTCAAATATACAGTCAGTATACTAGAAAAAATCTCGATTTGCTCGAGCTGGGGCCGCGAGGAATCGGTAGGTAATGATGACGTTTCTATTGTTTGCGCCCGCAAGTACGAAATGGTTAGGATGACGTAAAGACAGAAAATCCCGAAGGGACCGCTCAGGTAGATTTTGTGACATTTATTGTGCAGTCATACTTCGATACTCTTTTGCGTTACGCAGTGACATTCTGTGGAGCAGTTGTTTTGAAAGTTATGGACCAAAAGACACTCGTTAAGCGCAGGGGAGGTTATAAGGTGCGTTTAACTCTGTAGATATATAAACACTTGGAGAGTTTGCCAGACACGAGTTCACAAATCTTTGATTTATATTGGAAACCTTGCCAGACACTCTTTCTCTCTCTTTGACCGGCTCACGGCTAGCTTATCACTAGCAGGTTGATGGACATTTACAGAAATTTGCCGACAATCAAATTCTGTGCTGACTTATTCCCTGCTCACAGATGTCTTTCCGTTATGAAGTTTCAAATAAGACTAGAATGCGCTACCGTGAATCGATCAAACGTCCTTTTAATTTGTAAGGCTCACTTTCCGTGAACTGAATGTAAAAAGGGGAAGAGAAATAGCAAAAAATTCAACTTCTAATTAAATCTTTTCTTATGGTGTAGAATAAACTATTCTCGAAACTGAGAATGTTTTGATCAAAGCATTAAAGCTGTGTAAATCGAGCTGAAACTGTGCATGGAACCTTGCGTTTCCTGTATTTATCTCACCTATTGTATGGAATATGTGTGAAAATCTTCATTATGAATCGGTATATTTCAAAGAGCTACACAACTAGCAAAAATACTATTGACCGAAAATATACAGAACGGGGGCAGCTTTAGTGTGAACTATTTCTAGTTCTATGTCTTACTTAGGTTTTTTTTTTTCAGATGAACAACTTTTCGTATTACTCATTTGCACACTGAAAACAATTAAACTACAATTTACTCACGGAAAACCAGGATCCCTGTGCACTGGTCAAACGAATGGCAGAATTTGTGTCGGGACTTGTCAAATCCACCAACGCAGATGAGGAATATCCCATACAATAACCAAAGCTTATCGATCCAAAGGAAGCTATAAAAGAAGCAAGAATGGATCTTCCAATTTTGTCCTTTTTAGCCATTCTTCTGAGATGTAAAATTGCGTTTAACCGTCGACAAGGACGCTGGAGACAAAATAACCTTCCATCCAGGCAGAAAAGTCTTTTAATTACTTATTTCACAATACCGATTTGTCATCACAGATAAATCCTGTGACTCGACTGAACAATAAAAATCACATGGGCCCATGCAGGAGGGGGTACTCAGGGTATGATTTAACTTTTGAGGCAAAAATCAAAATTTTAAAATTTAAAAAACCACCAATAATGCTGAAATTCTGAGCAAAAATTGGCATGAAATTAAATGTTTGTGTTCGTTTAGTCACTGCATCAGACCAGCCATAAAAGAATTTATCATTTCCAGACGTTATAGTCGTGTTACAACCGAGAGACATCCGAGAACATCTTCAACAATAAAATGTGACCCTCCACAGGACTTTAATGCTAAAGGTGAAAGCACGCGCACGACACGCTTTCACTTTAAAACAAAAGAATTTATTTTAACACGCTTTAGCACGCTTGCAATCTTGCCTCATTAGCAATTTCTTTTGTTTCAGAGGGCACGCTTGAGACAATTAAGCGTGAGCAAGTCGAACAAAAGAGCGTGTTAAAGTTTTCAAACAAAAGCTCCATGCGAAAAAGCACAACACGCTTCAGTGTGCGCAAAAGCACGCAAGGCGTGTTATATATAAGCTAAATAAATTTCCTCTACAAAAACGAACCGTAAATGATTATGAACGGCACCCTTTTTTGGTAACTATCGAGAAAGAAAAAGTTATACCTCAGTGATCGCAGCGATAGTATCTGATTGAAAAAACGTTGTCGCTTGAAAAGTATAAACAGTGAACGGTGTGACCTACTGGATTTATGGGTAGAACTATATTAGCATTGCAAAATCAAAGTTCTTTCCAGAAATGTTTACTGACGAAGCTGTGCAAAGGTTATCTTAACTTACCTTAATTTAAAACACATTTGCAATTTTCTCAGAAACAGTGATCTTTCGGACTTAAGACACTTTCTTGCCGATCGCAGCAATCGCGATCAAATATAATAGAAATCATCAAGTGCCAGGATCACTAAATTCTATTTATTTTTTAGCGATTGCACGGATCGTAGTGATCAAATAAAAACTAGCCTGCTTTTCTAGATGTACCAAAATTCCAAAACGTTTCCAACGTTGCTTAAAGGGGCTATGTCACCCAACACGCATGCGCGAGCCAATGAAAACAAACTTGAAAAAGACAGCCCAACTTTTTCAAGTTGTGTCGGAGATTTTGGAAGGCTGTTTTTATCTGTCTAAATCTCAGCCATCGTTCGATAGTTAGCGAAGTTTTGTATTAAGAATCATTCTATGGTGATTACAGAACAATTTTTTGGCGTTATTTTAAAATTGTTTGCCTGTGGAATGTTTTTACGTGGATTTACTGTGTCCTCTTATCAGCGGCCGTTGTAATGGCAGAGTTAATGACGGCTACTCCACAATGAGTGATGGAATCTTTGATGGAATCTTCCCTATAGTTCACAGGACTTTTCTACTGAGTTATTTTAGAGGCTGCTGGCTCTTGGATTTTTCTTGTGCTCAAAGTATGTGGACATATAATGAAGCGGCTATCGAGTTGGCGGCGGCCGTTTTTTGTAAACGATTACAAGAGCATCAGGCCATGAGTTTCGTGACGAAACTAAACTCCTAGCGAAGGAAACATTCTAAAATTCGGCTAGATTCCCTCTTGTATTTATCTCGATTCACGGCAAAGATAAACACGACCGTTTGCTCGTCCAGATTGCTCTCAACGGACTTAGAGAGGCACCTTAGTACGAGTTAGATCCTGTAAATGCCATGTTTTTGAACTGTTTGTGTTGGAGCATAATTTTGGAAAATAGCAGAGTTTACTTTCCCTTTTTATCAACGGACTGCTTATAGTGGAGTAGTATACCAATGATGCTGGGTTCTGTTTTTCTCGACGTCGCAGTGATTCGGCACGATCGAACAATTTTGCGCGATAATGTATGTTTCCCTAAGATCAAAACAAAGACTTGGTCTCTTGTTCTATCAGCATCTAAATTATAAAATCAATAGCGACAGACAAGTCTAATTGTTAATGATTTGAAACAGTCTTGGTCTTTATCTTCGGTCTAGCGTCTTTTGTAGCTCATTTGTAAAATACAACTTCCATTTATTTTGTTGAATAAGACAATATGTTGTTGTTGAATTTTTGTTTGCGCTCTATTTTATGAATGGCATGCGTTTTTACTTCAAAACTACAAGTAAAATTGTCGTCGCAATTTTATTCTTGATCTAGCATAACCAGAGAAGAAACGTTCCATAAATTCTATCGAAATATCCCTTATCTAAACCCATTTCGCTAAACCTCTCTAAATTCGGAACCTTGGACGTGACAGAGAACATGAAGAAAGTCACGCGTTAAAAACAACAGAATTTTGACAGTTGAAAGTAATTTGCATAACCTCACAGCGCACATGGAGAAAGTCACGCGTTAAAAACAATAGAATTTTGACAGTTGAAAGTAATTTGCATAACCTCAGAGCGCATGCTCTCCAGCTGACATAGCCCCTTTAATTGATCCGGCCGACAATAACACAAAAAGCGAAACATCAGTTAATTAATGACTGTTTCACCGCTTTTTGAATAGTAAGCAAAAAATGTATTTTTTAACAGAATTCCGAAATTGTATGGTGCTTTTTTGTTTGATTCTTTGTTTTTGTCACGATAATACGGCGTGTTTAGAGTACTAAAGTTCGTTCCGAGAATTAAATCTCTGTCAGTCACACACTGAGAAAAGAGAAAAAGGACTAAATTAAAAGTAGTCCGCGTGAAATTCTTGAAGGCAATCATTTGTTCCATAAAGTTCGGTCATTGAATTAATTCATCGAGCTCGATCTAAAGGGGTGACGGTCAAGCTACTCGAAAGTGATGTCGTTTGAGGTTATGTCGTCCAAAACCTGATAATATGAGTTTTGTCGCCCAAAATTCAAAGAAAAGTCGCCCGCAATCCTCCCTCATTCTACAGTGTTTTAGTTTACAGATTCTTGTTTTTTTCGTCCTGTGAAGAACGAGATATAGTACACGTTTACAGCGCTTGATTCGTCTTAGCATAGCGTAACGAGATATCTTTACATAAATTATGATTGATAGCGCTTCGTTCCTCAGGGGCACCTGACGGCGATTTCCTCCTAAATGCATCCTAGCATCCTAGGACAACTTCAGTCTTTTCGAAATTACAATGGCTTCAGCATTATTTTCCCGAAAAATTTAGCTTCCAATTGAAAGTTTTAGGAAAGTGAGAATTTTATCGTATTTTCGGTTCCGAAAATTTTAGGATTCCTTAATTCTCTACGAAAAATAGCTTAACTGGGGGATGAAATGGAAAAAATTAAACTTCAGAAAATCGTAAGGAATTTATTAGATAACCTTCGAAAATTGTACATGCATGGAACGGTCATCTAGAAATGTTTAGCCTTCCTCAACCTATAGAAAATTCTAGGCAGTTTTTGTTTCTCCGATTTAATTACCTTCGTTCGTCTCAGCATGGCTTAAAGAAATATATTAAACTAATTTATTCAACTTCATTTCTCTGTGCATTACTGCTAATAAATATTCCGGTGGCATAACTATAATTTTCAGGCGACATAACTTCAGTGCCTCGCATGCGATAGCAGGCCTCTTTGCGATTCTGGTCAACAGCCGACAGCCGGAGGAATTGGTCTACACTGATCTCGCGTTAATTCCAGGCTAGACCACCATTAAGTCGTGATTTTCAAATGGCCACGGTTACTATCAAATTCCAAAACAGTCTCAGTTGGTATATTTGATTCACTTCGACCAGTTATCAATGCTGATTAAATCCGCTGAAAACCCAAGCCATTTTTATCATCTTAGCGGTTTTAGTAATCAAGCGAGTTCAGCGTGTCTTACCCAAATTGCACTCTAACCGTGCTATAATTCGCACACTTACCGTGACATATGGCACGCTACAAAAAAACAAAAGGTCTAGCGTGTTAAATTTGCCAAAACAAAGGCAAGTGTGTCCGTCTTTGTTTTTTCAATTTAATATGCGCATATCCGTGATCTACGGCACGCTAAGCGTGTCGTGCAAGCGTGTCGTGTGCGTGCTTTCACCTTTAGCATCAAATTCCTGTGGAGGGTCACAAATTATGAATGTCAACTATAACCAGTAAGACCATTATCCCGGGAAAGGAAATGAAATTTTCGCGACACGTTAGTTTCGCGAATTTCTCGATACAAAAAAAATCGCGAAATTAAAGTGCCGCGAATATAACATGACGTTATTGTTCCTTCGATAAAGTCGTGTTTATAAATAACATTGCCTATGAAATGTTAATTGTTGTACTCAAAAACGCGAAATTAAAGTGATTCAAAATATAAAATTTTCTCGAAATCGCTAAATTTAAGGGTCGCGAAAACGGCGCACATCAAAATCGCGAATTAAACATGTCGAGAAAACTGATTTCATGACGAAGCGAGCCGACGGCCGTTTTTTGCCTTTTGTCACTGTGGAGCCTGATCACAGGCTACCTTTATTATGGTCATAATCAATTTATACAAAGTTTCGGTTCGAAAGGTTTCTTCGTTTTGTGATAGAGGACGCTTGAATATTTCCTGGCATTTGCGTGACGCGGTATTTAGCTGGAGGCCGGTAAAGCTTTTAATATGGAGCGCTTATTGAAAATTAACAATATTCCTTAACAAAACAATTTTTAGCAGCAGGATTTAAGGTCGGTACACACTAGGCGACAAGTTGCTGCAACACGTCGCGGCGACAGATCACTCCATATGTACAGGTCGGGCGACTAGTTGCAGCAACAAGGTGAGGCGACACGTCGCAGCGACAAATCGCTTCGTGTGTACTGGAGAATTTTTGTGAAAATCTTTGTCTCCGCAACAGAATTTTGTCGCTGCAACAAGTCGCAAAAAATCAAATCAGACTGAATCTGTGCGACTTGTTGCGGCGACAAATTCTGTTGCAGCGACAAAGATTTTCACAAAAATTCTCCAGTACACACGAAGCGATTTGTCGCTGCAACGTGTCGCCGCGACATGTTGCTGCAACTTGTCGCCTAGTGTGTACCGACCTTTACGGTTGATATGGAAACAGTTTTAGTATTTCGATAAAACAATTCGCCGTATCCCAGCTTACTGAGAAGAAATGAATTGAAATACACTTGTTCTGGTGTCGACGGATTTGAAAAGGTTTGGCTGGTTTTGCTATCATTTCTTGCCTTTCAATTCATTAAAATGAAATCAGCATTAATCTAATAAGGTCAACACATGATCGCAAAACCATCTTAAACCGTTCCAAAACGACACTGGCGGGAAGACACAATCAGCGCTGATTGGTAAGTGCAGTTCATTTCTTTTCTTCGCAGTATAAGCTCCGATAAGGCGATTTTTCCCACGAGTTCCCATATGAATTCCGTAAATTGTTATGTTGACTGCAGTGTTGCCAATTTTGATGATTGTTGTTTTCACATATCAGAGTTTGGAACACGTGAGATTTAACCCATGTATTCAGCTGATTTATCAAATGTAATGTATTTATTATCCAGCTGTGAGCTGCAATGGGAAGCTACTAGAACGTGTCACCACAGCTAACATGGGCTGACCACGTGACTACATTTCTTTTATCCTGTTATGCAGCATTGGCGGTTCTCAGGAAACTGCGCAACCTCGCAAGCGGTTATTGATGTCAAAACTTGGCTACGGCTGCGTCGCCGGTTCTCAGTATCCAAAATGCAAAACGGCTACTCTCAGACAACTTGCACCCTGTTTAGAGTGAGAAGCGTGCAAATTTAAAATGGATCAGGGGCATAGCCAGGAGTTTTCCAGGCCGGGTACGTACAAATTTCAAAAGCCCTTTCCTCCTAACCCTTTTAAGGCCCAATTTTTTTCTGCTTCTTTCATTAAAGGCGACGCTAGGTTGTAGGCCAAAGCGTTTTTTGCTGTATATGAATTGCAGTAAGTTGTAAAATTCTTGCGCCTTTTTTGGTTCATCAACTGAAGAACCTCAATCGCTCATTATTAACTTTTGTTTACCATGTTCTATTTGACGTTTGCCTAAGGCCGAAATGAAAACAACGATTTCTCCATTTATACCATCCCAGTTTGTTTTCTGCGCGTTATTATTTCAACGTTTGGGGTTGAAATAAGCAGAGTTAAGTAAATTATCTTTTATATATTTGCTTTTCTTTATTATTATGATTTTTATTTTTTATTGTACTGTATTTTATGTTTTTACCCTCGACTTTTTCAGGTACGCACGTACGTACCGTGCGTACAAGTAGCTACGCCATTGTGGATGAGTTTAATTCGCTTACAAGTGACACGTTCATAAGCCAACAACCGAGGTTAGAGACATAATTATGGTATTTTCAATGCCTTTTATTTCTATTCTGTTTACTACATGCTACAATTTATCTTAAGTTCTTTAAGTTGCTCATCATATGTCTTGAAGATCCAGGCTTTCCTTTTCTCTAATGGGACTTTCTCTAGACCCTGGGTTTCTAAGAATAAATAATTAGAAACATTACTTTATCTAAACTCTCTTTGATGCAAGTAAAGATGGTCAATTCGGTAAAATTCAAAGTCAGATAATTTTTTAAAATCTACGATTACTCGCTCAGGGTCAATAATTACCTCTGCGTTAATAATACATACAAAGTGGGATTTAATCGGCCAGATGAGTGTAACCACTGACCGACGTGTGACTTACCTAGTCCGGGGAAGGGTGGGGGGGGGGGGGGTTTAAGGGGAAACTGCCATATACGGCCTTCATATATATCCATGGCTGTCAAGGGTATGGTTTTCAGAAAGTTTAATTCGGATCAAGGGGCATAGAAATGACAGAATTTGGTTGACTATAACTGAAAAATTTGAATCTACTCTCAACTCAGCGTATCAGAGCAACAAAAATAGTCACCCTCGTATTAGTTTCTTCAAAAAACCGCAGGTTCAGTGTTAAGTATTGCGCTATGTGCTAAAGTTTCTCGACTTCAAGCGTCACACCCGGCCCACCCAAAGAATCCTAAAGTACACTATATACCCTTCACACCAGCCCGGTTCTGTACTGTTTCATTTTCAGAGTCAAAGTTTTGTTGTCAGTTTTGTTGAATTCGTCCATAAGTCGTTTGTCAGGTGCGTTTAACCGCAAAACTGACGACAAAGTTCCAAGTAATTTCCTTTAAGACACTTTCTTAAGCAAGTTACCTAGTAAGAAAGCTTTTGATTCGTGCATGTATGTTATTCCATCTGCTTATGATAATGATAATGATGATGATAATGGTTATGATAATGACAATAAACATTAATAGGACTAAGTAAATATTGTAGAAGCCATCCAGGACCCGCAATTCTAGGACTATTTCTATGCTATATTATAAGAAAATCACAAATAAAACTTGTTTATCATAGAAGGTATCTTGACTGATCACCATTGGTATTATTGGCCTTGCATGCTTTTCTCCTCCCTCTTTTCCTCCTTAGTTCTCGTTTAGAGCAAAATGTTGGCTTAGGGGAGGGGTAGATGGGCAGATTCCAAGAAACCTAAAGTGATCCCGCTAATCTTCCCTAATCGCTTATCCGTAAGATCTTATGTGACTATGTGACTTCACAAGGACATCGGCACACACCAAATGTGGGTCGAGAAATGTGTAATCGGAAAAAAAATGTCCCACCTCCCTCATGCCGGACAACTATCTTAACACTCACTATAACTTCCTTAGCCCTGTGCGAATAAAGATTATTAAAAGAAAACATGCTCCGAGCTGTGTAATTGCTGATAAAAAATGATAGTTGTCATACAATTAAATTATAATTAAGGTGAAAGCTTTCCCCGAATTCCTGTAAGGCTCAACAAAATAAGTCATAAATCTGGAGTTTTAAACCAAGAACTTTTTCGCACCGCAGAAAGCGGACATGGGTTATTTAATATATTTTGTTTCACAATCCTATGGAAATGACGTCTTCATTTACCCCACTAGTGTCCTATTTTTATATTTATTTAAGTACTTATTTATTTATTTGCTTATTTATTGAGATCGACCTTCGAATTTGTTTACACGTACCTTTGTAATCCACCAAATATAACCAACGTTACTTGAAGTCAAACCAAAGGTGGTTACTCTCTTCGGACTCCACCCTCCACTTGACTCTATCTGAGGTTGTATCTGTCTGTTGCACCACTTGTTACCCGACGAGTCACAGCCCCATTTACTGCGGATCCTGTAAAGATATTATCTAAGTCTATTAAAAGTCAGCCAATATTATATTAGGGCCCTAAAAAGGCTCCTGTGTGTATACTAACACTTTCTAGAATATGTGAGTATATAGTTGATAGACAGGGCCATAGGAGAGAAAGAGTTGAGGAATAAGAAAGGACAATTGCTGTATAAACTAAGAACGCTTCGCCCGGCCTCGGGACTTCGTGAAGATGATGGTTTTTATGGCCAGAACAGAAAGACCGGTGTGGGCGTGCGCAAGGGATGACGCAACATTTTCGTTAAGCTGTTTAAAATAGCAGTCATTTTAGTTGTGTTACACGTGCCTTGCCTTGGCAATTTAGCAATCTAAATGAGTGATGTACGTTTCAGATACGTTAACAGCTAGTTAGTCACCCTGAAGAAGATCACCGAATGTGATCTAAATATAGGTGAATAAAAAAAGCGGCGCGATAGTAACTGATTTGTACTTGTGTTTGTGAGGACGGGAGAGAGAGATGCTTGTGAAAATTTCCCGGACTTAGTTACCTCTTTTGATGATTGCCGTAGATTTCCCAAAGATCTGCGTCGCCCTCAACTGTCAGCCTGCTTCTACCCCTGGATAATGTGTCAAACGACAGGTACTGACCATAGTGGTCGTACTTACGACCTCCGTAGGTGTTGACAACTGTATAGAGGTGGTTACCATGGGGGATGAGTTTCCAAAAGCAGCCTTCATTGTAGGGACTGATGTAAGGATGATTTTCCACCATTAACCTGCCATGACTTCTAAACCAAGTGATCGGCAACTCCCTTTTACCATAAATGACTGGTGTTAGACACCATATTCCTGCCATGGAACGATCGTAATCTGGTATTTTCAACACAGCGGTCATAGAGGCATCTGTTACTGGGTTCACATCTGGGTCAAAGTAATTCACCGCCATCTTATTATGACTCTTATCGAAACGACCAGCGCGAAGAAATTGAATGAGGTTCTTTTGCTGATCGCGTAGACCGATCTGAGCGGCAAACAAGGCTTGTCGGTTGGGTTCAAGCTCGTCTGGCAACAAAGTGGCCACCTCCTGAATAATCACGTCCTTCAGAACTGCCATCTTTGCATACAGCTCGATGTATCTCAATGTCTTTTTTGCCTTGTTTCTCTTATTGGCCCTAAGAAGTCGGTCTATCTCACTTGCCAATGTTCCCATAAATTCAAGGCCAATATACATTGGCACGTTCCTCTCAAGTGACTCTGCTTGGGCTTTGGTGAGCTTATTGCCTGACTGAGCAAGCCTATCCACGTATGCCTTCGTAACGTCGAATGTTTTAGCGATACCTCGAGCCTGATTACTGAGGTCCTGCTCGTAAAACTGAGCCAATGCCTCGTCTATTTCTTCTCTTACGATTTGCCCGAGAGATTTCTTTTTCTTTCCTCCTATTCCAAAAAGACTCAGAAACCCAGAGACGAAGCTCAAAGCTACGGCAACAATTTGTCCAGTGGGACCAGCAAGTGCTGCAAACTGTCCGACCATATTGAGTGCTCCCTGTACTGCACCTATGGGATCGTCTCCTGCTTTAGTAAACTTTTCAATGTTTGAGGCAGCGGATTGAAGGGTCTGCGTCATAGTCGCTCTGTCTCCGAACGAAAGCGTATTCCATTTTCCCTTTAACTCAGTCAGACCTTTCTTGGCGCCCTTGGCTTTTGATCCCAGTGTCCCAAAGGCATTTTTCAGTTTTTCAAAAGGGCCACTTGGAACTAGAGGACAGTAACAGAAAATAGCTGTAGTGGTCATAATGGTTAAGATAAGTAACTGTAGGATCTTTTGGTGATTTGAGAGATCAAAATGGGATTGAGGGATACAAACAGACAGTACGGAAAAACACGTGATACAGAGCATTGAACGAAAAAGAAAAAGAGGGACAAAGCACTTAACAAGCACTTCGCGGATACTCATAGTTGACTATCTCATCGCCGACACCCCGATAATGCGAACACCAACGAAACTTTGACGAAAATGAACTGTCACCAATATATATCACGAACTCTGGTTTAATCATAATTAAGGACACCTACTCAGGTGTCTACTATATGTTTACCACTAATAATTGGCATCGAGTTTTGCAATTGTGATGTAAAATTTCAAATAAATTCTTGGAATTTGGCATGTTCAAGACCGTCCTCATAGAGTGTGACATCAAGACCTTAAAGGAGAGTGTGGATGGGGTGGGGTGGGTGGGGAAAGGGTCATGTGTCGGTTGTCAGTTAAATCTTAGGCCATTTGTTAGTTGTCAGTTCGAATCCCATCTAGATCCTCTTGAAGTATAAGAAAGTTTTTATAGTGCAGCCATACTCTCGTCCAACTGTGTGTCTGTCGGGCTTGCCGACGTGTGTTCTTCTCCGTCCATTGAATCACTTTCCTTTTTTTTCAATATAGCTTTTGCCTTAAAAAAAAAAAAAATCAGTGAAATATGTCAAGGAATATGTCAATTTAATAAATGTGGTAAGAGAAGTTTTTCTTTTCATTAATTAGATATGTATGCGCAATTGGTTCTTTCACAAGGTTCCTTACTAACTGATTATGTGAAATAATTCTACAAATTTGAGTTGAATATAAAGTTAGCGTTGTGTATTTCATAAATGAGAGAGGAATTGTCAAGTATTTGCTATTAGATCAGCCATTTGAGTCTCATTTAGTTTTTTACAAGCCAATGAACTATTAGAAATGAAAAGATTCAGAGCACATGTAATTGCATAGGTTGTCTATCTCATATGGCATGTAGCAACCTCTCTCACGGAGTGTTTTCGTAGCTACTACGAAAGGCAAAATATTTCCAAACCTTTTCCAAGACTTTCTCCACCCATCCTGGTTTGCCCTCGGTTCTAATTAATTCGGTGTCTCCCTTATCATATGTTTTGGCTGCTTCGCCTTCGCTTTCCTCATCAGCGTTATCACCCCTCCGAGTCTGGCTTTGCCTCTGGCTTTGTCCCAGGTTTTTCCTAAGAACCGAGCCAAAAAGTATTGAAATCATTGTACAGCTGAAAATTAGGTGACACCAACCACTACAATTATTTGATTGGCTTCCTTATTAAAGGTTCTCAATGGGGTTAACTATCAGCCGTCAAACGGTCTAAAATTTCACCGTCAACGGTCAAAAAATGATATTTGATATAACAAATACATCACCTTTATCACAACTGGCTTGCTGAAGTTTCCGCTTTCAAGTTCGTCCTGGAAATCGTTATCACTAACACTGCTGCTGTCAGATTCTACTGTCTAGTTGGAAGTTTAAACGCATCAAAATAAAATCATCATTAATGAAATATTAAATAACCTTTTTGGAAAATAGCGGGAGTAAATGACGGGAGTTGACATTAACAGAACGTACGTTCCTTGGTAAATCTTAAATAACCAGCCGGCCCCCCTTAGGTGAGTTGCAACCTGTTGCAAAAACACTTGAGAAACTTTGCCTTATTCTGTACTTGCTAATGCCTCGACCCCTCCTCGCTTTGTAAAAGCTGCCAGAAATACAAGACCATGGTCAAAACTTGAAGGAACAACTTTGAGTAGGGGTGAGGAATTGGGTGAGTTTTAACAGAGACGTGTGACAAGCCGCAAAAACGTGAGAAATAACGAATATAGTCAAAGGTACTTTGTGTATAGAAGAGATATATGAGCGCCCAAAGGACGTGAACACCCTACCTCTTCAAAGCTCTCGTTGTCGTCAAAAGTTTCCTCTGCGACTGCAAGTCGTTTTGCCTTTGTTGTGCTTTCTCCTGAAACATTGAATTACGTGTTTAAGTTAGTAGAAGAGGTTAAAACTACTCTAAACCTTCACCATTAAATGCGGTTGTAACAACAAACCTTGGCATTCTACGTGTGAAGCCAGAAGAAACAACAGCAAAACAAATGCAATATTCATTGCTTCGAGATCACTTCAAAGACAAAATGAGGTTTTTCGTAACCAATAACTGCAACGTAAAGATGCAAGTGTTAGAAGCGAATTTATGATCTGGATAGTGAAAGCAGTTAAAGCAAGTTACTGTCAAATAGGTTACCGTTTCTGCACGTTTTGTTTGCCTCTCAATATTGTCCAGTTTATCATTGGTAAACTTGTCATTGGTAAACTTTGGGTCAAAGATCTGCTTAAAAGGGTTTGTTTTGAAAACTGGCTTTTTTTTCCAAAACACAAGGGTTAACGTTACGCTTAGTTTACATAAGCACTGCAGTGGTCGAGCACAAGTAGTTTTTTTTCCGTTCTCTTTTACCCCCCAAAAAACTGTACTTTATATCTTTAAAGATTGTAATTACATCTTTTATACAGGAATGAAAAGAAATGGTCTGTAATATAAAAATAAGTGGCAAAAAGTATAAAAAGAAAAGACTCTGAAAATCCACTTTAAAAAGGTTCTCTTAGTTGCTCGATGAGTGCCTGTAGATGAAAAAGAATCCCTTAGGGAAGGGGGTAATTGACGCCTATTAAAACCCGCTAAACCACAAAACTTAGCGATAAAAATCAACGAATAGAAATACTCACTTTGGTTGTCAAAAAAGAGCAAATTTATTCTGATTTTTTTGTGAAGTTGGGGTCGTCCTTGTACTTATTTTGTAGAAACTGCACCTTTTCATGAATAGTCCAACACATAAATTAATTAAAGAAAATATTTAGTCATATAATATGATATACAGAAACTTCCAAAATCTTCCTTATTTACTGACTAAAGAAGAAGAGAAAATAGAAAAAAAAAAGAAGAAAGAGACGACCTTCACAAAGAAAAAAAAGCGATACCTAGAATAGACATTTCGGGATTGGCTACTAAGAACACAAAATCACTGATTTCAAGGGCAATAAAGGTAAAAGTGATCTCAACTCTGGCTTGAAGCACAAAACCAAACAAAGGCACTGATTCGTCCAACGAATGCCTTATACCAACCTTATTAGCACTTCTCCAGAACTTCGAGATCTAATCCTTTTGTCTTGACGTTCATCTAGTCATGGAGAACTTCATCCTTGTAAATTGATTCTATTGCTTATTAGGAATTCGTGCCTCCAGCTTATTGGCTCTTTTTAGAACAGGCGGTTGCCAGGTGTGACAAACCATTTGAATAGGCCAACATGTTAAGTTGACCTCATTATGACATTTCCAAAGAGTTACTATCACTGGACAAGTTAACAAAATTAACCAGCGCATGTAATTAAAGCTTCTTCAATTTCTTTTTAAAAAAGGAACACTTTCTGTAATGTTCTGCTGTTGACTCTGGATAGAACTGTCATAAAAGTTGCAATTTAAAATCGATAGAAATATTTAAAAAAATGAGAGACTTTTACCTATGACTATCCAAATGATCCTCTATGTTAAGGAAAACCAGGTTTACGCTAAATTTTTTCAGAATTTCTTGAAAATTGCCCTTAGTATTTGCAAAAATAATTTCAACTGTCTGAACTGTTTTCATCTCGTCTTTTTTTAAAAAAGCCATATTTACAGGTTGATAATTACTTGTGCCTGTTAAAGGGGAACTGGAAATGTCAAACGCAACTCACTGAAACCTGTGGATCTATTTAAATGGTTGGTCACATCTTATATTACTGCTTCTACCAGTTTTTCAGTGATTTTATTTGAAATTTGACTCCTTTTTAAATAAAAACAGCAAAAAAAAAGCATAAGTTTTGTTGCTTAATGAATCGAGAAAGTACTGGAATTAATTGTGAAAAGAGGATTTATTGTATTCAGGCATTTTGCTTTCGCTGATAAAAACATGACAAGCCAATGTAGAAATCAATTAGTCTTAACTTCTTTTAGCCGTAAACAACCTGTTGATTTATTGAGCGTAAACTTATTTGTCAAGTCATAATTGTATTTAGTCTTCAAGCCGTAATCAACCTGTAATATGAAAAGCCGTTATCCACCTGTGTAGCTTTTGGAAATAATTAATGTTTCAAAGCAAGCTTAAGCTTCCACCAATAGTCTTGTAGAAATGATTGTTGTGCTCTGTAATTAGACTCGTTGAGTTGTGATGCAATCTGTATCGCTTCTCTAGCTTACGCTGATACGAGTGCTTTGTAGGAGCGTCCTGGTTACGTGCAGGTTACATCTTCGTTGCATCTAGTCTTGGTTACATTTTGATTGGTTATGTTTTGACTGTACCCGCTGTATAGTCTTGGATTAAAGAGGGGGGTAAAGGAGGAAGGGGGGGGGGGGATCCTAAGCACGAATCACGAAAATTAAAATTAGAAATAACGCATCATGGGGATTAAAATTCCGTGTTCACGTTTCACGGAAATTTCGAAAGTAAAAGGACAGTCAGTGCATGGCTCGACCTGTTCAGAATGCTGCTGTCTTCCGCTTTTTGTGCCTCCCGCACAACTAAAACAGAGAAGTGATGGAAGTCAGGTAAACATACTCCTTCTAATGACATGGTAAACATTTTTCATTCCAATTTAAAAACCAGTCCCTCTTATTTAAAAACTGCCGGCCATTGCAACCAAGATCGCCACTCAAACCCCAGATGTGTTAGCTCCACGAAAATAAGAGTTTAATTATGATTGCTTGAAAAAAAGCGGACTCATCAGCTCAAGGAAATCGTTTCCCAGTTCGAGATCACAGACGATCTTTTCTCGGCGGGTGAGACAAGAGCCAAAAATGTTGTCTGCTCTCGCAGGCTTGGTCATAGTTTAGGACGACATATATAATAGGAACGACTGTAAGGGCCGGTTATTTAAAACAAAGCCCAACTTAGGCCGTGGTTTAAGAAATCATTGAGCATCCAGATCTCTTTCTAAGTGGGTTATTTTAACCCTTTGGTGACCGCCGGCGAGTAGCGAAAAAACAGCGTTTTCCACCAATTCCTCTTTCTTGGACTAGGTTTCGGCTAATTAGCATCACTATGGCATAAAAGGTTTTCGAGAAAAAAGACATACTTTCCAACTAATTAAACAGCTTTTTTGTTTTTTACACATCCGCAAAAGCCAAAATTTGGACTTTTTTTGGCGAATCTATTTCGATCTTTCTCTCTTGCTCTCTTTTTTTCGTTCTTTATTGGCGATTTTTTTGCCCACTTTATCGTCTTTCTTTTGCATGGAATTGTGGCTGGCTAACTTTTTAGGAAAGGGACAAATTTAATTTTTCAAGGAGTAGTATGTAAACAGCGAAATTGGCAGTGGAATTTTCCCCAAAATTTTACCTTTTTTTGTGAGTGGAACTCTGTCAGGGTTAGTCAGAATATCCCAAAACGAGGTATCGCTGGAAAGATCTATTTTTGCTGACGTTGTTGTTTGAACAATTTATTAAGATCAACCGAAAGCTAAATGGGTCAGGGGAAAATTGTATACATGCTACCATATGGGGACGTATACGACCCTAGTCTACCCTGCTGCTGCCTTGAAACGTTCACCATAACCGGTGTTAAGATAAAAGCATTGAAAAAATTGAAAATGGCTTAGAACACGGTTTTGTCAACCACTGGCTAAACTTCATTTAAATAACGGGCCTTTGAGTTTTTAATGACCTTTTAGAAAAGTTCATTTGAAGGTCCACTGGCTTCCCTGTAGAATTTGTCTTCAGTTGAGACTACTTCACGAAAAAATTAGTTGAAAATCACGAATATCCGGTAAAATATTTTAAAGTTCAAGTATCACGACAAGTAAACCAGTCACAGTTCACGGGTTTTAATTTCGTATTTTCACCTTTCACGAAAGTTACAAACACTTAATCACGTATCACACAACAACCCCTTTAACCCCCTCATTAAACATCTACATTGGAGCTAAGTTCTGTTGTGATCATTGTCTCAACGGTATTCAGCAGGTGTAAGAGATTCCGTTCCTTCCCGCAGCCAGCGAGTGTCCCCAGGAAAAGGCCTTTCCCACAGAGTTTTAGAACTTTTCCCCGTCCGTCGATTTACCCTTTCGTGAAGGCAAAACCTGTTTCCACACTGGCGTTAAAGTGAAAAAGCGTGTTTTCACACTGGTCGAGAAGAGTGGCAATTACGCAAGGAATACCAGAGGCAAAGAAACTTCACAGAACAGGATGTGTTTAACTTAATGCCGAAATTTTTCACAAAGAGAAAAGAACCTTTCAACCTAAGGAGCCGGAGTAAGAACCAAAGTTGTACTCCGAAGTCGAAAGTAGACGCCTGCGTCGAGTGGGATTTGCCTTTCGTCGAATCGAAAGTAGCCCCAGAATTTAGGCGTGGGCCAGTTGCTAAAGAAGGAACTAGTTCGGAACTGTTGGAACCTTCTCGCAAAAACTCTGTAGGGTTTAACAAGACCAACTTGGAACCCGTGGATATTAGTGTAGATTCCGACAGCGACGACAGTCTTAGTGCTTTGGACCCACGGCGCCTCAGAGCTCACGTCAGTAGAACCTGAGGAAGAACTGTATTCAGAAAACGAGAGGGAAAAAGAAAAAGAAAAGGAAAAAGAGAACTGTACGGATAACATCAGGTAGTCAACAGGTACCCGCGAGTACGTCACCTGTTACTGGTAATATATCACCTCCTGGTAGTACATTACCCTCCACGACCGCACCGCTTGATCCTACATTTATAGAACAACCAGAGGTGATAAATACTACACCAATTGTTATCAATTATACTGCTGGTGGACAACAGTTACCGACTATCGATTCACCTGCTGATATTTATAAACTTTTCTCACGTAAAAGTTGTAAATGCGGATTAGGAGTTACTGCCGCTAGACATAGTGAACCGTTCTCAGACTCTGATCCTACCGACGATTCAAGTTCAACCAGTATGGATGGAGAATACATTCGTGCACTAACTGAACTAACTCAAAAGCTCCTAAATAAAGACGTAAACATAAACAAATTCCATGGATATGAACATGAGGACATAAATTGATGGTTTGAGAAACTGGAACTAGTTCTGATTCTAAAGGAATCAGGTTGGATGTCCCTGCCGCAATAACACAGCTTATTAACAATCTTGCTGGACCAGTGGAAACGATTATGTTTGAATTGCCACCAGACGAGCGTGGAGACTATGACACTTTAAAACAAGCCCTAGTGAAACGTTACTCTACCAAAGACCGCGCATGGGTTAAACGACGTCGTTTAGTTGCTCGCCGTCAAGGCCCAAATGAATTACTATCAGATTATATCAGTGATATGCATGAACTTTTTAGCGGACTTGATATGGCCGAAGTGGACAAAGTGTCATATTTCACAGAAGGATTATTACAACCTTTAAAGACCAAAGTCCTAGAGCGAATGCCGGAAACACTCTTGCAAGCAGAAGAAGTGGCTAGAACAGTCGACTCAATATCGCAGCAAGAAACTAGCACCAAAGGAAGCAGCCAAATTGAACGCCTAATTGAAGAAATTACCCGCAGTCAGCAGGTACCCGCACAAGTAACAGGTCCTAACGCTTCACTTAATACTTCACAACAACAGTCACTTCAAGCACAAATAGAAACATTAAGACAGAAGCTAAGTGAACTTACATCTACAGTTGCCAAGTCGGATAAAGTTGCCGCTTATTCAGAGCCCCAAGTGGGTTGCCAGAGTAAGATTGACGAATTTACTGAACTTGTGAAGCGTATGGGAGATCAAGTGAACAGTTTGGAAAAAAGGATGGACGCACGCATCACTGGTCTCGCACAACGTCAGCGAGAGACTCGTAACACTAGGGAGCGATCAAGAGATGGCCGACCCTATTGTTATTTATGTGGTTTGCCCGGCCATTATCAAAACAGTTGTCCACGACGGAACAAACCGTGAACGCGACCGAACGTTAGTGCCCAGGTACGCGCTCCCTGCTCCTGATAGCTAAACACAGTATTCAAGTGGCCCTCAAGCAGGACAGCGAGCCTTACCACCTCCGCCACATCAGAGCTGAATAGCTGCCTTTCAGGACAGTACTCCGACCCCTTCCAGCCATCCGGAGTTGCCTATATACGACTCTCCTAAATATGACTCCGTTGATTGGGCTTATTGGGCAATATTTCGGCTAGTTCGGTTTATGCCGCGGTTCAGGCCCAAAAAAAACAAATACAAAATTTCCCAAAAACCAGAAAATCAAACATAAAATTTCAACATTAATATCAAACGTAGGTTTTAGAAAGTTTAATTCTCTGTGCATTTTCTTAATTTTATTTTTCGTATATGTTTTTATCGTTTTCCTTTTCCTCTACTCAGCTGAGGACAGCTAAAACTTAAGGTGGGAGGAATGTGAAGACAGGATTTATTGTATGCAGGTATTTTGATTTCGCTGATAAAAATATGAAAAGCCAATGTAGAAATCAATTATCCCTTAGTCTTAACTTCTTTTAGCCGTAAACAACCTGTTGATTTATTGAGCGTAAACTTATTTGTCAATTCATAATTGTATTTAGTCTTCAAGCCGTAATCAACCTGTAAAAAGCCGTTATCCACCTGCGTAGCTTTTGGAAGTAATTAATGTTTCAAAGCAAGCTTAGGTTTCCACCAATAGTCGTGTGAAAATGATTGTTGTGCTTTGTAATTAGACTCGTTGAGTTGTGATGTAATCTGTATCGCTTCGCTAGCTTGGGCTTAAATACGAGTGCTTTGTAGGAGCTTCTTCGGTTACTTCCTGGTTACGTCCTGGTTACACCTTCGTTGCATCTAGTCTTGGTTCCTTTTTGGTTAGTTATGTTTTGACTGTACCCGCGGTTTAGTCTTAGATTAAACCTCTACATTGGGGCTCATTGTCTCAAGGGCATTCAGCAGGCGTAAGAGATTCCGTGTCTTCCCGCAGCCAGCGAGTGTCCCCAGGAAAAGGCCTTTCCCAGAGAGTTTTAGAGTTTTTCCCCGTCCGTCGATTTACCCTTTTGTGAAGGCAAAACCTGTTTCCACACTGGTGTTAAAGTGAAAAAGCGTGTTTTCACGTAATACAATCAACATTAATAAAAACATTAAATAGAAAACTGAAAGGTAATATCCGTTTTCCTTTGTACATTTGCAGGCATTTTTTGAAAAATGACCTAAAGATTTGAGAATTGTCAAGTTAAAATCCAATCTGTAATGAAAATACTTAGTTCAATTTATTGTTAAGATGGTGAATTAGATTTGCTTTTCTTTTTTATCTTTTTTGAGAAAACAGATCTATTGAGAGGTTTGATTAAATAATTGAATTTTCTGAAGCCAGCGATCTCTTAAACCTCAATTATTTCCTACTCATGGTATAGTACAAGAGCTGGTGAATCGTTAGTACACTGACATCGGTCGATATAGGTGACCCTGACGCGATAGCAGTTTATTGCCTGCGCTGGTGAATCGTATCGACCTTTCCTTCACACTGAAGAAAGGTGTCTAGTAGAGATGCACTTATCTTTCACAGAGAAGTTCGAACATACAATGGCTGTTCTTTTCTTGGCAAAAGACCGCGTTTCGATGATTTCGTACTAACTTCACTTTTTTAAGGAGATGCCTACTGTACTATTATGAGGTATATTTTCCACCAAGTAGGCAGAAGTCGGCATTAGAGACAGATAAGTTTGTTTCCGTGAAGATTTGTCATTTTCAGTTTTGACGTTTTAGTCACCTTCTTTTTCATCATATCCTCTCATAATCAATCAGCGCTGTAAAAAGGTTTGAGTGTAAATAATATAATAGCGCTTCATGTATTTTATGGTCTCTATTTCAAAGTGATTAGTCGTTGAATAGAAATAATTTTGATGTCTGCAATCACCTGCTTTCATGACGTTTGCAAGTTCAAACATCTGCTAAACCGTTTTTATCCTTTTTTTAATGAAAAGTGCGAGACATCCAAGTCAAAAAAAAAAAGAAAGAATTTTAAAAGGTCAAATATATATAAAGAAAGAGTAGCAGTATGCTTAGGTAGTGCAAAAGTACTTTCATTTAATTGAGTGCATGGTCATACCTTAGACTCAGAAATTCTCACAGACCACGTTACTGCTATGAAGATGGCAAGTGTATAGTGTTTAAGTCAAGGCTTGATCGTGCGACTTTGGCTATGATTACCAGAGGCTCCTCAATACCGGGGCAAAAGGCAGCTTTAAATAAATTTAGTCTTCCAAGTTGCGACCTGCTTCTTCACCCTATTAATGTCCATGAGTATCGAATGAGTAGGTCGATTCCATCTCTATGGCTTTTTCTAGCCGAATTTGCATGTTTTTTCTTTTGTTTTTTTGTCATTTAAGGCTTTTCATGGAAACAGTGTTTTGGATGTTGTACTGACATTGTTAGCTTCGTGACAGATACATCCTACGGTTTCTTCAAATTGTACGTGAACCGGCGTCAGCTCGTGGGTAAAAACTCTTACCAAAACAAGCCTTGCTCAAGTAACCTCACAGCAATTTCAAGTCAAAAGAATAGAGGTCCAATCCTATTTTAATGTCGGCTTTGACTTCCGAAAACGTTTTCCGTGACAGTTTAATAGAGTTTTATTGTCAGTCACTTATTCTGTAAGTGATGGGAAAAATCATTTTAGCACCCAAATTCGGCTAGAAAAAGCCATAGAGATGGAATCGACCTACTCATTCGATACTCATGGCTTTCGGTAAGAACGGAAGACAATAATGGATCTTGGAAAGCGTGGAAGCGTTGAATTTAAAGGAATTGTTTATCGATATGTACTGTCCGTTATGGATGTTTTTAGTCGGTACATTTGGCTTAGACCTCTTGCAAGGAAAACTAGCAAAGCGGTTGCGGCTGAGTTAAAGGCTATATACATGGAAAATGGTCTCCCTATTGTACTTCAAAGTGACCAAGGCTCTGAATTCAAAGGAGCTGTTAAAGGACTTTGTCGTAAATTAAAAGTAAAAATGGTACACAGCCGCCCATACCATCCCCAGTCGCAAGGAAAAATAGAAAGAAGTCATCGCGCTCTACGTTCCAAGATTGAATATGATTTTTTAAAAATGGGGAAAGAAGGTCTAAATTGGGCGAAAGCACTACCTGAGTACCAGAAAATTTTAAACGAGGAACCCAAAGAAGTTTTAAAGTACAAATCTTCTTTTGAAGTATATTTCGCACGCAAACCTAGTTCCCATACTAACCGAGCTATGAAAAGTGAAGATTTAGTAAGTGAAGAGTTGGTAACAAATGCTGGCAGATGCAATCCAACCTGCAAGGATAGAGAACGTCGTTGCCGAAGAGCTCAAGATGTCCGAAAAGCGGCTCATGCCGCTACTGAACGTTGCCATCGAAGAATGGTTTAGACGCACTTAAAATCAAATCCTACCTCAAGATACAGAATAGGTGAGAAAGTTCACGTCCGACTCAGTAAAAAGGGCAAAACTTCAAGAAAACAACAAGTGATAGAAGCTGTAGTAGAAGAAAGAAATTTAAAAAAGCAGTCATACAAAGTCTCGTTTAAGTCGCCGTCATCTGGAAGGCGTGAACGACGGTGGTTCAGTGTTGTGGACATCACAAGCCTGACTCTGAGAGAAGAAAACCTAAAGCAAAAAGCGGCAAGAATTGAAAAAGAAAAAAATAAATTGCAAAGGGAAAAATTCTTGTTCCAATGGGAAGTGACGACTACCTTAAGATAATAGAAGATCAAGGGCATAAATTAGTATACAATCCCCCAGGGAACGGAAACTGCCAGTTTGCAGCTTTGGCATATCATCTTAGTTCACTGGGAATCTTAATGTCGCCAGAAACCATGAGGGAGGAAATTGTTAAATATCTGGAAACAAATCCACTAGATGAAGATGGTTTTCCGTTGTACGAATGGGTTCCATACTTTGATTCATGGCCACAGTACCTTACCCACATGGCACAAGACCACACCTAAGGCGACCAACTGACGTTATACGCTGCAGCTAACCTTTATAACGTTAACATTTACATAATATCATCGCTTGGTGCTGGTGCTAGGCATGTGTTTCATCCTGGCCTAAATGTTCCATTTTGCGG